TCTTTACTAATTATATTATTTATTATTTTGATTTTTACTTAAAGTCGTTCTGTTAATGTTGCTGATTTTATTATTAATGAACTGTCTCTCTTCAATTTTTGCTTCATAAATTTAACAGTTTGTAAACAATATTATTCTTTCTTCATTTTTACATTTAATACAGAAAATGAGTTTTAAATTAAATAATTTTAACAACTTCCATGTTTTAAGTTACCACTTTAATGGAGCAAATCTAAAGTTACAATAAATGTGTGTACTTTCAAGCCACTTCACTTGTAATCAGGAAAAACACTGCAAAAAGAATTTTCTTGCCGCAAAAGCAATATGTAGAATAAACAAAATAAATTGCTTACATTATATTTTTGTCTAATAATTTTTAAAGACATTATACTAAATGTAAAATTAATTTTTTCTGTCATAATATCCTTTATATGTAAAAACTTGTCACACATCTTTGCTTGATTATTTTTCCAGTTTTCGTGATATTTATAATTATTATTGTGATGATTAATCACACAATCTGAATGTTTATATATAGCATTCTATAATTATAGACCGAGTTACTACTACCTGTATTTTTAGAAATATTCTCATACTTTATTCATAGTAATTACATAAGTGTTAACTTAAAATGATGTTCATATTAATTAAAATAAATACTGTTTAACTTTCTACTTTTTAACCTATTTCATTAATCTATTACTATTTCTTGGTGAGTTTCAATCATCAGGATTCATCTTTATTCAGAAAATAATTAATTCTGATCATGAAATATATTTTGGAAGTATGAATTTAAATATAATCTTACATGCGTAGATGTAATGCATGCATGCAGCAAAATTACATTGGCAGTATGAGCATAAGGACTGATTAAACCACTCATTATTTTACTTGTCAAGGTCAGAATGAAAAGTTGTTGACGTTCATTGTCTTGATTTTTCCACCTGTATGCAACAGCCTTTTGTACAAATTGTTGTGTGTGTTCTATTTATATTGTGTATAAATCAATTGTAACTTTACAAATTAAGTATTGATAATTAAATTCGAATTTAATTTAATTTCCATTTATTTGTCACTCAAAAATATATACAAAAAAATAAACTTGACTTTGATGTTTTCCTTTGGCTAATGAATAGTAATTTCTATGGTCTATCTCAGTGTTTCTCAACCTCTAATGAATTGTTGCCCCCTTCACTTCAAAATTCCGATGCCGTGGGCCAGGGCTAACGCCAAATTCATACTGCATTGAATAGACTAGTGACTAGTATAATGTTATTTGTTTAATTAATTATTGTACGATATAACAAATAAAATATTTAATTAATCTTAATATAATGTTTTACTATATCACTTAGAAAATTGTTTTTCGCCCCCAAAATAAAAATTGTTAATTGTCCCTCAACATGGAAAAATGCCCACATGGAGGCGATATCGCCCCATTGAGAAACACTGGTCTATCTCTACAAATGGACCTGTTAAGTGTGGACAATTTTAACTTTTTCAAACCATTCTTCTTCTTATAGAAGAGAAAATCCACAAAAAGTCACCTAAAGCTGGCCTTTCAAATCTTCTACATCCCTACTTTCTTTTTTGACCCCCTCAGCTATAAAATTGCAATCTTCCATGTACTAATCAAGTGCATCTACGTTCACTGTTCTAATCTCTATGATCTGAATACAGAATTAAACAAGATTATTAGTTTAGCATTACAAAACACCCTCTGGCTACATAACACTCTCTACATCATTGAGAATGTTCCATACAGCAGCCAAAATATATCTAAATGTAAGCAAGTCTCTTCTCCACATTCACATACTCCAAAACCCTTCAACATATTTTTAGGTTCATTGCTAATAATATATGCATAGCTTTCTGATACAAGCCAGCTCTATATTGCTTCCTATGGAATTGTAAAGAACCCATGGATGTGTGGACAAATGGTGTGGTGAAGTGTGCATCATTCTGGCCTTAAATGAGGAGACAGGCAACAACACAGTATATCTAAAGGTCTTTCAGAGGCATATTGAATGTAACAATGTTAAACAAGAAGGCTTTGCTAAAGTTTTATCTTTCTTTACACACTTTACTATAGTGTGAGAGATTGCAGGCAACCAAAATTATCAAACAGCAAAAGATTAAGAAGCTATTGCCAATCCCAGCTTGGCAATAGCTTCTTAATCTTTTACATCATCTGCCACCATCATCGTTCACCTCCTCCTCCTCCTTGTTTACTACATCCATCTTCCTTCCTAACTGTCCACATCTGAAAATGGCTTATTAACTGGGTCAAAAGCATTAGTATTCCTTAAATTTTACCATTATTAAAACTACATTGATGAATACAGCAGATGTAAGTTCGCCGATTTTGGGGGCAATACGTTAATTGCACGTCAGGAAAATCTAGGGTCAAACCGTATGTGGGTAGTGGCGGTAGGAGACAGAGATGACAAGTGTCTTACACGAAAAAAGTTTATTTTGACATCAGATTAACTTACACAATAGGAATGACAAAGCGTAACAAGCTGGACGTCCGGTGTTCCGTTCTTTATATGCCCCGGGGCTCGAATGAGGTATAGACTGAAATTCTTGCGTCCTGTGACGGAGCTCTTGCGCTTGATGACGGAATTCTGGCGTCCGATGACGGAGTCCTGGTTCACGGCACAGAATCGACTGTCAATCTCTCTTGAGTATGGATGTCCGTGTGCTGAGGACCTGGCGTATTGGAGAGAATCTGCTCCATGTCCTTGAGATTTAGGGGTTTTATAAGATTTTTCCCGAATCTCACCCTTCTGATTGGTCCCATTCATCCTCTCCCTTACCCCGATTGGTCATTCTTTTGTTTCTAGGCGAAACTTGAGACTGATCTGGGTCGGGAAAGGTTGGAGAGGTGATGATGAGGCTTTTAATGTTCGCGCTCGTATTTTACTCCGTTATGGCCCTTTTCTCTGTCATCTTTGAACCTAAACGGTCCACCAGATGTTCTTATGACCATTTATCCCCTACTGCGTTCTTACTTAACAGATGTCCCTTTTGTTCTTAGACCTCCCCTTTCTCCCGCTTGCTTCGACCCGACACTTGTTCGTGAGCATCTTGACAAGGCTTTTTCCTTCTGTCGACATTCCCCCTGCTGGTTTATCATCGCGCCGCGTGTGTTTTACAATTCGAAAAGTTTTTGTCCCATCTGGGTTCTGTCATTAACATCAGACCTGTCCCGATTCTATCCTCGAAACATTCCGACGTAAAAGTTTTGTAATTAGTCGTATTTCCGACGCGCTTTTATGACCCTCACACAGATTAAAGTGGTTGGTTCATTATATTTTAAAAATTTTATTTAAGCTGTTTAAATTTAAAAATTATATTTAGCAAAATATATATTTTATAAATGATACTGATTTTCTTCATTTTTTCAATGTAATACAAAAAATAACTCCAAATTAAATTATTTTTATAATTCTCTGTGTATAAAATAATAGATTCTTTATGCCATTTCATGCCATTTTTCTAATTTTCTCGGGAAGTTATAAGGATGATCATTTAATATCTCTTTTAATTTTGTTAATTTAATTTACCCTCATGCCTTAAGTAAAAAATAAGATGGAACTGAGGGATGCTTGCCTCTGATATAGGAAAACAACATATAAAAAAAATATAATTCAAAGGTGTAAATTTAATTTATGAATTCAGAACTATACTATATTTACGCAAAGTAAATGTAGAAAAATTATAAAAGTAACATGTAAAAATTTAAAATTATACAAAAGATAACATGCAAAGAGCAATTATAATTTTAGCAATCATAATTAGCAATAATTACAAAGGAAATTGAATTACATTATTGCACTAGTAACCAAAGCTAAAGAATTGCATCCAAGACAAAATACCTTTGAATTTCTGGAGAGGAAGATAGAGATGATCTTGAATCTCAGACAAGGAGCTAAGATGGCCCAAAGGAAAAATGGGATCAACCAAAAAGAGCTCCAAAACTGGCTCTAATCTAATTACAGGGCTGACAACCAATAGAAACTAGGATGGAGCATATGAATAAATGGGTCCATTTTCAATCTGACTTCTCAAAAATTGTACGGTTCCCAAATTACACATTTTCATATTTTATCAATATTGGCCTGAATGATGCAGAAAAATCCAGATGGTAGCAAATTTTCCAGAGAATATTTTTAGCATTTTTTGTTAGGAAAGGACTCTCTAACTGAAAAATATATCATATTTTCTCTCTTTCTGTCTCCCTCACAAAAGTTTATCATCACAGGTGCACATATATTGTAAATTGGCATAGATTTTCATTTTCCACATTCCTGAAATAAAATGTAGACAGTTAACTCAAGTTAACATGCTCTCTAACAAACAAGAAATGCACGAAATTCAATTATAAATGAAAAATAATAATAATAATAATTTCTGGTACTTATACTAAATTATCTTAAACTTCACTGCAACATCAGAGATTGACAATGCAATACAAGCCCACAAAGAATACTTCTCCGACAATCTCGCAAGTTTAATTATTATTATTCTACAACTAAGTTAGTTAATACTTATTTATTTTCTATTATTTAACTATATAAATGTTCTCTAGCATGTTTCTGGTAGTAGTAGTATGACTTGTGGTATCCATTAACTATCTTCATGTGTTTTACATGAAGGTGTAATGCCTAAGACAATTTAAGTTAGATTTATATAGAAGCAAAGAATTAGAATTCATATTTTTTATGCTATTCCTGTGGCAGCGACTATGTTACATCTTTATTCAATGTATAATTTCCATAGTAATATTTATATAATTATATTTAAAGTATATGAAATGATATTTGTTTCACTGATTTGTCAGAAAAATTATTTTTTAAGTATAATTTTAATTGCTAAAGATTTTGAAAACTTAATAAAGTAATTAAGATTTTAATTAGTTAAGAATTTAATGTATAAATTATAATTTTTCTGTAAGATATTCAATTATAAAATGATTTTTTAATGTCTTATGACAGGTTATATATGCCTCCTAAAGGTTTAACTACAGAAGATGTATCATTAAATCCATACAAGTGGTTAAGAAAAGATTTAGAAGATCCAGAAAATAAAGAATTACAACTTGCAAAATCAGCTCTTGTTAACAAATTGGAAGAACTTTCAATACGTATGAAAATTTATAATAAATTTATATTTAATAACAATTGGATAATTCTCAAAATATTTTAAAAATTATTCATTTTATGGCCTAAAATTAAGGTTTGTTCAGTTTATAAAGTATAGAAGTTTGTTTTATTTTAATTAATTAAATGAAATTCACTTATTGTAATTACAGACACCATTGTCATTTATTAGAATTAGCAAGTCCCAAAATATACAAGTTAAAAAATGCCTATAAAACTGTTTATTGTAATCACAATTTGGTTATTTTTATCGTCTTCAGTTAAATAGGCAAGGAGCTGTCGTTTTGTGTGCTATTTGATGATAGTATAGCAGTTATCATCGGTCTTAATCAGTGTTTTAAATGCTAAATATTGTTTTAATCATCATTTACTCATAGTAAAAGTTAAAGATAGTAATGTCCAAACCAGCAGGCAAACTATATTGGATAAATTACAATTAAATAAATTATTATAATTAATAAATAACATGCTTCAAGTTACATACTTTATGCTTGTTTTAGCATGTCCCATTAATATCAGAGTCAATAAAATCAGAATTTTTTCTACTTGTAGCCTTTTTCATTTCCCCTCTTAATGTGATGAATGTAGACAAGTTAGTTCTAAAGTGATTACAATAAACAGATTTTATTACATATGATAAGCGTCTTTGAAGAATCCTTGGAATCAAAAACAATATTTTAATCTGGAGTTACTTCACAATTAAGGTTTACACAACCTTATTTTATATATCTTATACTGTATGGACTTGTTTTAAAGTAACTCCTTACAGATTTCACTTCTTCCTCCAGCTTTATTAGTTTCCCAATTTGGCTATGTTGTGTGGTCGGACAACCTTCTTGTCATTAACCTGTCTCTCTCAATCTGGACCTGGGACTGGCTACAGACAACAGAGGTGGGATGTTACACCCACATCCAACAATTCCATTTTAAACTCTGACAGGAGTGCTGTCTAGGACTCTCATAATTAATGTTGATGACCTGAAAGGAACTGCTGTTTAGCAAAACCTAGCCATTAACTTGATATTAAAGCCCTTACAAATAATTAGTAGTAAATAATTCTTATTATAAAAAAGTTTTGTGAAATAGACATTGAATGAGTTTATTATTTTCTGTTAATTGTACACGCACATACTGATTAGAAAAATATGAATTATAATTAAATGTTAATTAGTTTGTTAATCATTAATAAGTTAATTTTTTTATTATAATTTAGTATCTTCTCCAAATAAAGAACAAGAAGCAGAAGAAGCTGAAATTGAAGAACCATTTTCAGAAAATTCAGCTCTTGCAGGTAAAAGTATTAGCTATGTTATTTATGCATTTTGTTTTAATTAATTTTCAATAATGCAGCTTTTTTTTTATAAAATTGATCCCTATAGAAAGCATAAGAGTAAATTTTTAATGATTTTTTTTTACATTTTCTAATGAATAAGTAAAATTTTACATTAATTTAAATTGATTTATAATACAGCAAACCTTGGTTTTTGAACATAATTAATTCCTAAAAGTTTTTTCATAAGAAACAATACAAAATGGATTAATCCATTCTTGACCTCCAAAATAAAGCCTTGTTTTTTTACCTTTTTAGCTGTATTCATTACTTTTCTAAAAGATGTTTTGTTAAAAGTTCTTACATTTAATTAATACTGTTAAATATAGTGCCGAGTGCCAATTGTGTATTAATGAGAAATAATAAAATTATATTTAATAATAAATTTGTTATTTAATATGACTTAAACACCATTAAAGACAAATTCTTGGATACCATTTATATTAATGTGATATTTATTAATTAATTCTGATTTAAATTTAGCTGTGGCACATACTGAAAAATGGAATTAGTATCTTTCCGACATGCACAATAAAATCTAATTTAAATAGCAATGTCGTTGATGATTTGTGTTGTGATGTCTAATGATGCGAGGCAATCTTGGCACCACTAACTTTTGAATTGGTAGTCTTGTCATTTATGGTTGGTTCGTCGACTTTCTTTAATATAGGAAGTAGAGTGAATTCACCATCTATCTCTCTCTCTAATCTGTGTCCAACTCTTGCTGAGTAGGTTGTTTGGCAAGTGATGCAATTATGAGTTTGAAATTCTGTTTGTGAACCTATTCGAGGTTTGACTGTATATTAATTATTGGATTTTAAGATATATTTATTAAATTTTATAACTCCTTCAATTAATGCAATGCTACTAGAACATTATGTAAATAATAATTTACAAAAATTCAACATTAAACTGTAATTGTACTTGATTTTAAATAAAATCTGCAAATATATTTGTTTATATTGTTTATTTAAAAAAAGCCTTTCTTAAAAAAATTAATAAAAATCAATTAAAAAAGAATTTTAATGGAATGGATATAAAATTTAATTAAAATTCAGTTATAAAACATAAGACTAGTGAAACCTCACATCTTTTTCTTCCAATATCTGTATTAAATCAGAGACAAAAATATTTTAAAAATCATAGCTATTTTAGTATTTTCCTTTTATAAACAGCAATGCATTTTGGATTAAATTTTTCTTAATCCCTCCTCAGGCTTCCGACACATTAGTCATGAAACTTGTTTTTCATTGTTGGGGGAAAAGAATAAAATAACTGTGTTTTTTTAAAAAATCTTGGTCTCTGATTTAATACAGATATTAAAAGAAAAAGATGTGAGGTTTCACTAGTCTTATGTTTTATAACTGAATTTTAATTATATTTGTCTATTTGAAAATTACAGAATAACTTACTTTCAGTTAAATGCAAGAAAGTTGTTCTATAATTTCCAAAAAGCTCGAATAAATCTGATTATTTGTAAAAATATAGTTGCAAATTTTAATTAAAGTTAAATACAGTTATCTTTTAGCATTGTAATTTACAAAAATTCAAATAAATAAAATTCCTTATTCATAACTTTGTATACAATATATGAATAGATTTTCTTTATTTTTCTGCAGCAGAATTTGAATAATATAATTCATTTTAAAAAGCAATAATTTTTACAACTTAAAAAATCCAATTATTACTCTNATTTAATGTATAAATTATAATTTTTCTGTAAGATATTCAATTATAAAATGATTTTTTAATGTCTTATGACAGGTTATATATGCCTCCTAAAGGTTTAACTACAGAAGATGTATCATTAAATCCATACAAGTGGTTAAGAAAAGATTTAGAAGATCCAGAAAATAAAGAATTACAACTTGCAAAATCAGCTCTTGTTAACAAATTGGAAGAACTTTCAATACGTATGAAAATTTATAATAAATTTATATTTAATAACAATTGGATAATTCTCAAAATATTTTAAAAATTATTCATTTTATGGCCTAAAATTAAGGTTTGTTCAGTTTATAAAGTATAGAAGTTTGTTTTATTTTAATTAATTAAATGAAATTCACTTATTGTAATTACAGACACCATTGTCATTTATTAGAATTAGCAAGTCCCAAAATATACAAGTTAAAAAATGCCTATAAAACTGTTTATTGTAATCACAATTTGGTTATTTTTATCGTCTTCAGTTAAATAGGCAAGGAGCTGTCGTTTTGTGTGCTATTTGATGATAGTATAGCAGTTATCATCGGTCTTAATCAGTGTTTTAAATGCTAAATATTGTTTTAATCATCATTTACTCATAGTAAAAGTTAAAGATAGTAATGTCCAAACCAGCAGGCAAACTATATTGGATAAATTACAATTAAATAAATTATTATAATTAATAAATAACATGCTTCAAGTTACATACTTTATGCTTGTTTTAGCATGTCCCATTAATATCAGAGTCAATAAAATCAGAATTTTTTCTACTTGTAGCCTTTTTCATTTCCCCTCTTAATGTGATGAATGTAGACAAGTTAGTTCTAAAGTGATTACAATAAACAGATTTTATTACATATGATAAGCGTCTTTGAAGAATCCTTGGAATCAAAAACAATATTTTAATCTGGAGTTACTTCACAATTAAGGTTTACACAACCTTATTTTATATATCTTATACTGTATGGACTTGTTTTAAAGTAACTCCTTACAGATTTCACTTCTTCCTCCAGCTTTATTAGTTTCCCAATTTGGCTATGTTGTGTGGTCGGACAACCTTCTTGTCATTAACCTGTCTCTCTCAATCTGGACCTGGGACTGGCTACAGACAACAGAGGTGGGATGTTACACCCACATCCAACAATTCCATTTTAAACTCTGACAGGAGTGCTGTCTAGGACTCTCATAATTAATGTTGATGACCTGAAAGGAACTGCTGTTTAGCAAAACCTAGCCATTAACTTGATATTAAAGCCCTTACAAATAATTAGTAGTAAATAATTCTTATTATAAAAAAGTTTTGTGAAATAGACATTGAATGAGTTTATTATTTTCTGTTAATTGTACACGCACATACTGATTAGAAAAATATGAATTATAATTAAATGTTAATTAGTTTGTTAATCATTAATAAGTTAATTTTTTTATTATAATTTAGTATCTTCTCCAAATAAAGAACAAGAAGCAGAAGAAGCTGAAATTGAAGAACCATTTTCAGAAAATTCAGCTCTTGCAGGTAAAAGTATTAGCTATGTTATTTATGCATTTTGTTTTAATTAATTTTCAATAATGCAGCTTTTTTTTTATAAAATTGATCCCTATAGAAAGCATAAGAGTAAATTTTTAATGATTTTTTTTTACATTTTCTAATGAATAAGTAAAATTTTACATTAATTTAAATTGATTTATAATACAGCAAACCTTGGTTTTTGAACATAATTAATTCCTAAAAGTTTTTTCATAAGAAACAATACAAAATGGATTAATCCATTCTTGACCTCCAAAATAAAGCCTTGTTTTTTTACCTTTTTAGCTGTATTCATTACTTTTCTAAAAGATGTTTTGTTAAAAGTTCTTACATTTAATTAATACTGTTAAATATAGTGCCGAGTGCCAATTGTGTATTAATGAGAAATAATAAAATTATATTTAATAATAAATTTGTTATTTAATATGACTTAAACACCATTAAAGACAAATTCTTGGATACCATTTATATTAATGTGATATTTATTAATTAATTCTGATTTAAATTTAGCTGTGGCACATACTGAAAAATGGAATTAGTATCTTTCCGACATGCACAATAAAATCTAATTTAAATAGCAATGTCGTTGATGATTTGTGTTGTGATGTCTAATGATGCGAGGCAATCTTGGCACCACTAACTTTTGAATTGGTAGTCTTGTCATTTATGGTTGGTTCGTCGACTTTCTTTAATATAGGAAGTAGAGTGAATTCACCATCTATCTCTCTCTCTAATCTGTGTCCAACTCTTGCTGAGTAGGTTGTTTGGCAAGTGATGCAATTATGAGTTTGAAATTCTGTTTGTGAACCTATTCGAGGTTTGACTGTATATTAATTATTGGATTTTAAGATATATTTATTAAATTTTATAACTCCTTCAATTAATGCAATGCTACTAGAACATTATGTAAATAATAATTTACAAAAATTCAACATTAAACTGTAATTGTACTTGATTTTAAATAAAATCTGCAAATATATTTGTTTATATTGTTTATTTAAAAAAAGCCTTTCTTAAAAAAATTAATAAAAATCAATTAAAAAAGAATTTTAATGGAATGGATATAAAATTTAATTAAAATTCAGTTATAAAACATAAGACTAGTGAAACCTCACATCTTTTTCTTCCAATATCTGTATTAAATCAGAGACAAAAATATTTTAAAAATCATAGCTATTTTAGTATTTTCCTTTTATAAACAGCAATGCATTTTGGATTAAATTTTTCTTAATCCCTCCTCAGGCTTCCGACACATTAGTCATGAAACTTGTTTTTCATTGTTGGGGGAAAAGAATAAAATAACTGTGTTTTTTTAAAAAATCTTGGTCTCTGATTTAATACAGATATTAAAAGAAAAAGATGTGAGGTTTCACTAGTCTTATGTTTTATAACTGAATTTTAATTATATTTGTCTATTTGAAAATTACAGAATAACTTACTTTCAGTTAAATGCAAGAAAGTTGTTCTATAATTTCCAAAAAGCTCGAATAAATCTGATTATTTGTAAAAATATAGTTGCAAATTTTAATTAAAGTTAAATACAGTTATCTTTTAGCATTGTAATTTACAAAAATTCAAATAAATAAAATTCCTTATTCATAACTTTGTATACAATATATGAATAGATTTTCTTTATTTTTCTGCAGCAGAATTTGAATAATATAATTCATTTTAAAAAGCAATAATTTTTACAACTTAAAAAATCCAATTATTACTCTTTAAATATAATTTTATGTCTTTGATTATTTAGATCAAACAAGGATTATAGATACACGTACATTCACACGTTCAAAGAAAAAGAAAAGTAGAGAGGAAGAAGAAGAAAGCGAAAACTCTAAACCATTATCATTTATAGAACCGGCAATAAATATTGCAAAAAATGGTGATATCGATGATGATTCGAATTATGAATATGGCTACATCAGACCAGAATTATATCAGCTTAGTGACTTTATTGATGTCCATGAAAAAGCACGAATGCAAGAAGAAAGTAAGTTTCCTTCTATTGTTACAACTTATTAAAATTACAAACTGCATGAATCATTTCATTTATGAGTGAACTTGTAAAGTTCCATTTGATGGTTGTAAGTGATTTAACTATCATTCACAACCATCTCTTTTGTAATTTTTAGTAAAATTTTTCAGATGCAAGTGTATATATAATAAAACAGCAAAATTTTTGTCGTACAACTAAATTAATTTTACCCACAACTGAATTTTTTTATCATTAACATTTTTATTTAGGATATTTTTATTAATATCTAAATTTGTAAAGTATATATGCTGTAATTAAAATTTTATTTAATTTAAAATTTTTAAGGTTTAAGGCAAACTACTCCAGTGATACCAATAAGAGGAAGTAAGTACACCTACTTTTTGTTTTTTAATAATAATAATAATAATAATTTATTTTACTATATACAAATCATTATATACAAATCTACTGTCAAGTTTATTAATTAATAGAAATGTATGATGAAATCAGAGAGGATTTTTATATTAGTATAATAATGGATATATAATAATTTATCAATATAATTATACATAAATAATGTAATTTAATGAATGTATTATAATTTAAGTTTTAGATCAGTGTGATCTGATAATATGTCTTTTGTTAAAAGCAATTAAATGGTAATTTGGATTAATTAAAGAAATCACCAAGCATATATATCATCTAAAAGCCTGACTAAATACATAATTAGTCTGTGTCATACATTTGGATCAATATATAAATTCAAATTACTTATAAATATATGTGTATATATATGAGACCCCAGATAGAGTCTGAACCATCACCTAAATTCACCCCAAAAATTTTTGAATTAGGAAAAAAAATCAAGAGATATAAAATATTTTATTCAACACTTAAGACAATGGAACTGATGTAAACAGTGTAAGTCCTAAGATCAATCATCACTAATTAGGGTCTGAATTCGGTGTCAACCTTGTTCATGGTCTGAGTTGATCTCAAATTTCCCCTGGAAATGGGCAAGAAATGTGGATGAGGAACCAAGACCAGTCAGAAGATGCATAGTTGAAGGACTGAGATATTAAAAACCTATGTCCCAAGGATGCAAGGTTCCTCATTCCTTTTCTCATGGTTCCTTTTTCTGCAAATTCCCTTTAATCTTTTTTTGGTCATGTCTTTGCAAAATTCCATCTCCAACAAGTGTCTCTCCAACCAGCAACTAGTCTTTCCACTCTGTCCATCTTGCCAAGCCCTAGGCAATCAGGAGTTAAGATTTCTTGGACTTTCTTTGCATCATTTGTCTTGCGTCTGGACTGAAATACAAGACTCTGTCCACTTGAAGATCCAGTGAGCTAAGGCATCCCAGACTTATTCAATGAGAGATATAGCTTCTGTCTCCTCATAGTCTTCATTGCTGTCTGGCCCTATGAACAAATTCTGGAAGGAAGGATAATTTCCTTTCAACAAGGACTGAAATTCCTTAGTTTGAGTCTGTACATCTTGGAAGACATCACACGAGATTTTATAAGAACACATACTCAAACAGGTTTATTCCACCTAGTATGTCTGTCTCAGTACGTTGAGACACATCCACATGTGACTACATTCGACTCATGAAATCCTGACAGGTCATTTCTCTCTTAGAGAGGTTCAATTTGTAGACATATACATTTGATATCAGGGCTGTGAATCACATCATGGGGGTCCTCACTTGTGTGATTATCAGTTTTGGTAAATTTATTAATTAATAATAAATGTTTTGCTTTAAATTATTTGTAATCAAATTACAAATTTTTCTTTATTCAGTTATATATGTTACTTCAAAACTTTACATTCTTCAGCTTAAAGTTTATTAATTTCATAAGTTTTTCTCTTTTGATTATATTAATCCTATACATCCAATAAAAGTTTTTAAAAATATCTCTGAAATGTGTAGATGAATTAATTTGTTATCAATATTATAATATATTTTGCATTGAGACATAAAAGAATAAATTGTCTATTATTTCGATGTTGTTTATGCCTCAATTATGCCATCTTATACAGTGTACTGGTTACATAGAAAAGTAATTTTAGCTTTGAAATAAACTAGAAAAAAAGTTGTTTTGAAAACTTATTTAATCTATTATAACATAACTTTTCTTATGGTAACTTTTTATAAGCTTGTTTATACAATACTTAGTTTTGGATTTGTAAAAAATAGTTTTGTTTAGATTCTTTGATACATGTTTTGACATCATCCAAATGTGTTCATCTTCTTATTGTTAAAATAATTTTGTAGAGAAGAAAACGTGACATTTTGATAGTGCAATGTCTAACGAATGTGGAAAATTTATATGAGTTTCCCATTTAAGCTCTCAGTTTCTGATTAGTATGTATTGCCACAAGTTCTGCATTATCCTACTGAAAGATCCTGTTTCTATCCTTAAAATCATTAATATTAATGGGCATTGCTATTATAATTTAAAAATGAAGATAATAGATATTTTTATTTAGACTTATTTTTTATAAAATATGTTGAAAACCATTATTTGTATGATATTATTCTGTCAATTTAGTAATAAGTCTTGTAGCAGAATACATTAAATAGCTGTTTCTAGAGATAGTCTAAATCTTTGAATCCCAACACACTTTTGGAAGGTTTTCTGTCTGTGAATATCAAATTATTATGGGAATTGTTATTTGGAGTGCCCGAAAGTCATTGACGCACTATGATGTAAAGTAAAACAAACAAAGTAGCTATTTAAATGATTGATTATGTCTGCTGCTGTTACTTAAGTACATGTGATTGCGAATGATATAAAACAGATGTTAACAAGTTTTACCTTTCTTTATCTATTTTTGATTTAATATTTTGCAAACTTTGACCTGTTTCTAATACTTTTGATATAATGTTATACATTGATATTATTATTATATTTCTATTTATAAGTGAAATTCATTACTATATCATTTTCCAAGCAGTGACATTTGATAAGAATGAATATGCAATTGCTTTATACAATTTTGACACTGACTAAAACTATTAAAAAACAAAAAAATTATTGAAATAAATTTTTAAAAATTGATGTTTTAAAGCAAATAAGAGAACTGTTTTAAAAATTAATAGTAAAATAATAATCCACGAAAACCTTTCTGTACAAGTGTTATGTTCTTAACTACTCCACAAATGCTTTCGACCTCCACCGACGTCTGCTTCAGATGGTGACTGACCGTGTTTCTTCCTAATCGTTGTAACGATGTTGCCAGAGATGTAAATAATCGGTGAAACGATCGCGCAGGCGTGGAGGTATTTGTTCGAGGAATTCGAACAGGGACAGTCGGAGGGGTGAAACCCGACGCGCACGATTATTTACATCTCTGGCGACGTCATTATGATGGTCAGGAAGAAACACGGTCAGTCATCACCTGAAGCAGACCTCGGTGGAGATCGAAAGTGTTTGTGGAGTAGTTAAGAACATAACACTTGTACAGAAAGGTTTTCGTGGATTATTATTACTCAACGAAGTGTTAAGTTGTTGGAAGTCGTTTTGGGTTAATAGTAAAATTTTATATAAAAATATTAATAAAGTAAATTGCATTTCCTCAAAAGAGTTGGGTCAATTTTTATATAAAAACCTGCTTTCCTTTAAATTATTAAATTAAAATGGTATATTGACTGATTCTATTTGAAAGAATTACAGGATTAATTAATTTAATTAATACAGTATTTAATTTGTTACCAATGGATACATTAAAGTTTCTATCATTAAGATATTAAGTTAACATAAACAAAACACTCATGAACAGTATTTTATCATATTTGAATATTTGTAATTGATTATTCACTAATTTTAGAATATTTTAGATAAAAGTTTTTGCCTTTTTTCCTGGCAAACAATTATAGAAAATGAAAATCCTTTTTTTTTTCTACTTTTCAATAATTTGAATTTTATTTATTTTAACATACAAATATGTATCAAAATATGTCATCATGAGGAGTAGTAATAATCGGCAAACAGTTTAGTCTTTTACTTATTGATTGTTTATAAGTCCAAAGATTAAAGTAAAGGATATTTATCTAACCTCTTACATTTGTTATTCTGATTACACTTGTTTATTTTTGTCTTTTATTACTTGGCAGCTACAATTCAAAGTTTGCAATGAATCTCTATAATTGACTTTAAATTACAAAAATTAATCTTAGATTTACAAACCATTCTCTATAATTATTAACTCATTGAACATATTTTAAATTATAAACATTTTTAAAAGAAAATAAATATGTATTTTCCTTTTCGTCATATATAATGCAAATCTTTTAATTGGCTGTCAAATCTTCAATAAAATAATTTTGTATTTTGCATGTAGACAAAGTTAACAATAGTCTCTTGCTTTGATTTTATGTATCAAAACATTCCAAAGACTTACTTTCATGTTAAAAATTTAATCAGAAAGGATTAAAGTAAATTATTAAAAACTGACAGTGAGTTAGATGAGTTAGTAGTAAAGGTGTTGGTCTGTTACTCTAAAGGACTGAATTTTGGTTGTATTCTTGAAGATTTTTATGAGTGGTCCAATTTGGATAAGTTAGAATTTGTGTATTTACTGCCACCTGACTATTGTATTATGAACATAAATCTAGTATGGGCAGATAAAGATTCTCTTAATGCTTACACAATGAAAAGAATCACAAGAATTATTCCTACTATTCTTATAATTATAAATGAAAACATCTTATTTTTTTTTATAATCTGTTCTGTAGGCACCAAGGATCTTCTTATCCATCCTGTCGTGGTCATGGGTTTGGCAGACCCACAATGCCGCAGTGGAGTGGTGAGAGATGGGTTCAACATATCCGAAACAAACCACTCTTGAAAAATTCCTGGGATTTTTTTATCCATCCAGATTCATTTCTATGACTCCCAGAGTGATCAGCCAACACCTCAATCTCTCAGCCATCTGGCCAATATATCTTAATTTAAGAAGAAAGTAAAATCATAAAATGTCTAATTAAAGTTTGAGAAAAAAATTTTTTATGGCCACAATATCCCAAGGCAAAAGAATGACCAAACCACCTCTGCCCATTACAAAAACTAGTCCTTTTTCACCCCTCATCTGGTACTTTCTGCTTTATTCAATGATTTATAACTACACAGAGGTTTGTTTTTTGCAACAGCTTTAGAATACTGATTTTCACACATTTACTCCTGTCTTTATTTTAAATGCAGTTTTAGAATTTTTTGTGCTATAAATTATTGATAAAAAATGTTTGCAGAAATTTCCAATTTCTACAAAAAATAATGACAATATTGATGGGTTTATATTATAACAAAGTGTTAATTATTAATTGAGTAAAGCTTCCTTAATAGGTTTAGTTGCCAGTAAGTAGTCAACACAGTATTAAACTTTTTTTGTTTTTCCTTTTGGTACAGCCTGTAGTTTACCGAGAAGTAAAAAGTTTCCGACTAATGGTATTCGTGCACCAAGAAGTTCGTCGTCGGATACTGAAGATTCTTATGCAAATAATATAGAAAATGGTAAATACCACTTTTTGTTTTATATTTAATTATTGAAATTATCTGAAATTAATCATTTTGAATTGTTCATATTACTTTGATGATTTAGATAGACCTTATCACAAAATACTGACAAAAATAAAAATGTTTTAAAGAATTTTCAAATTAATTTAAAGTAAACATAATGTTATTGTTGGCTAGTTTGTCTGTGTGTATATATGCTTGCCAAACAATTTGAACATGAGATTGGAATTTTAGAATTATTTTAAAAAGTTTAACTGGAATTAGAGATCTGGAAGCTTTGACTATAAAAGATAACTTTATATATTTGTAATATAAATAAGCCATTCTTTTATATTGCCTGATATTAAAATAATTTTCAAACAATTAATTGCACTTCCTGCCTGCTTTGACACAGTGTGAATTATCTAATATAATTATGAAGTTAGTAAACGAAATGTAAATTAAATTTATTATTTTCCTTATTTAGTTAAGAAACATATACGTAGACCGATAACGAGTACTCCGGCCAATACTCTCAAAACTTTTAATTCTACGCATTCCAGTCCTTTGGGTTCTAATTCATCGCTAAATAATACAGCAGGTAAGTAACTTACCCGATCTTAAATTGATTGTAATTGTAGACTGCATATGTAAATTTTGTCCAGTTATTTTATTTGAGATGATCAAATGAAAAGTTTACTTGTGAGGGAAAAAGTTTACCCATTGAAGCCATGAGCTGATGTTGTTCGTTACCCTCGCTGTGCATTACAAGAAATGCTTAAATCTAGAGCATTTATTTACTGCAATCAATAGGGTAACATTAAACTGTAAACAAATAAATTGGGAGCATGTAATGAATTGCTGACTCTGTCATTGCATAGTCTACTTCTCACAAGTAAACTTTTTGTTTAATCACTTTGTACTTAACTTTCAATTAAAATCATTAATAATTATTTATAAAAGTTAATTTGTGGTCATTAAGATTTGAGATTGGTGATTATTGATGATTTCTTAATTTTATTAATGAAAAATTGGTAGCATTTTTCATTTTATTTAATTTTACTGTGTTTTTTCATTCCTACAAAAAGCATCCTCTTCGCTCAGACGAAGTCTGCCAAATTTAGCCAAGAGTAATGCAAGTAGGCGATCATCGTCGACGAAGTCTATAAATAGTTCCTCAAATAGTGTAAAATCGAATCAGCACGTCAACCAGCAGCAAAATTCTCGATTTCCAAGTCAGGTTAGATTATAAATTAACATGACTTTTAATTGTTTTTATTTTTGTTTAATTAATTTGTTTTTGTGTAGGATAAGTTGAATCATGAATTTTTCACATCGTTAACGATAACGATTGATTTTTTTTATTTTTATTTTGGCATTTCTCAAACTGGATCTGCAGACCAATTTCAGCAGTTCTAGTAATAAGTACTATTTTTTTGAAAATATACCAATACAATCATGAGACTCATTGCAAAACATTACCTATTTTCAATAATTTATATGTATGCAAATTGCTTTCTTCACAGTGTGCATTCAATCTTCACCACTAATTTGTGTTTAAACTTATGCACTTATGAATCACCTAAGTACTCGGTTTAAAGGTGAAAGCAAATTTTTGGCATGGCACATTAGGGTAAGCGCCAACTGGATACGTTTCCTTTATTATCTAATATGCATAATGTACATCTTCTTGGGGCTCATTCACACTGGCTGAGTCTAGTAGCCACTTGCCAACAAATTTATAGTAGTAGGTTTGAAGACCAGGCTACTTTTGTTGCTACTCACTTGCAAGTTTACTCTCCAACTATGAAACTCGCTCTGCATAATTGTGTGCGGAGGTAGAAGATATACGTCTTCTATGGTACGAGGTGGCTCATTTAGGAATTTTAGCCATTTCTCGTATTTCAAAAAATAGACTTCGAAGAATGATGAATTAAAATGCATAACAATAATTTACTTTAGAAAATCTAATAAATTAGATTATTATTTGTTTAAGGATTTTAAATTGTTTCTTTCAGAATTACATATAGACCTAACCCAGTGTAATTGATACTTTCAAATAGCTTATAAACTAAACCCAATGTAACTGTGTCAATATGTCTTTATGTACAGATATATTGTACACATGTTGTATTTATATAAGATTTTCATCTATACATTTTGCTTTTTTTTGTTAGTTGGCAAGACGGCCATGTGGTAATGTGTTATTGCAACATTAGTACTTTCTATACAATGTATTGATTTTATCAGGGATGCACAACCTTTTCTGAAGAAGGGCCAAATTAGGATTAAGTTTACTGACTGGGGGCCAGACCTCCAAGTGATTAATGCGATGTCTGATGCAATTTGCGAGATTCTTTGTTGTATCGTCATGTGGTTAAGACTGTTTGAAAACACTGACTTCTCAGGACACATCTCACTTGCGATGATAAGACACTTTCTTATCATATCGCCATTTGTGAAAGGTTTCCCATTCTTGGCTATTAAAGCAGATATTNAAAAAAATTGAAATAAAGTGATTAAACAAAAATTATTACAAATATCGTAAATAACAGTTCACAAATGTATACATAGAGATATTTTTTGAAGGAGGGAAATGCTCTTCACAATTTGAAATCAATCAAACATACACTGCTCAAATGCTTGTGTAAACGCGCACCATCTATCATAGGATAAATGCCAGAAACCTTTGCGGGAGTGTATTAAAAAACTTCCCAAAGCTTCATGGCAATCGGATAAACGGTGCGGTAATGCATGAAGGACATACAGACAGACACACAGACAGACATACATTCATTTTTATATATATAGATTATACAGCACTATGCAAGTAAAACAAGTGCTGCTTATCTTTTCAGTAAAGGACCAACTTGTAGAAATCTTTAATAAAAAAGGAAACTGTTTATCAAAATAATTTTCTAGAACTTATTGTATTGCATGGGATGATTTACGGTATATGGCAGTCAATTGCATAGTCATTTAGTAATAACTCTAGTGTAATCTTTCCAAGAAAAGTAGTTCCTTTGAAATTTGGCTTTTTCTGTGGGTCGTGACGACAGAAATGTAAAATTGTAGTAAAGCTTACTGGAATGCAATAAAATGACCTGGTTTTGAAATTTATGTAACAATACGAGAGACTATAATATCAAATTTTTTAATTTTTTTTACTTGAATTGAACGAAACTAGAAGTCGATAAGGAACTACTTTACCATTTTATTTTCTGGAAAGATACGAGATGAAGCTAAGAATTGTCACTTACCAATGCCTTACCGCACATGTTGACAATCGTATCTTACTGTAATTTATTTCTTTGCACACGATTGTTTTGGATTGAACTGTGAATCAATGTTTTAACCCTCTGCAGAAAAATGCGTTCTTTCATTATGGTGAGAGAAACGAAAATCAGAATACGATATTGAAATGCACATCTTATTTGTCTAGTGTGATGTGACAATTTTCTCTCCAAAATTTAAAATTTCCTTAAAAGAAAACAATTTGAAGATTTGGAAGGCAATTAAATGACAGTCAATTATTGTTAAATATATTGAGATAGTACAAAAAAGTTTTGATATGAATTTTCTTAAATCTCATCTTCATTAAATGAGAGAATTGGATTTTAAAGTTGTTTATAAATACATAAATTTGTTAAGAAAAATTAATATTATAATAAATTGATAAAAAATTTATTTATTAATTTATAGCTTTATCTAAAGCTTTAGCATGTAATTTATAGAGTATACAAGTAGGATACAAGTTTAAATGTAGTTGTCTTGTGATTGATAGGAAGGTTTTTACAAAAACGTCTTTGTTTTCTAATTTAATAGGTTAGGAGGGAATCTGCACCCAGCCCCAGTTTCAGAAAGCCTCTGCTGCAGGAATCCTGCCACTCTGCCAATTCTTTGTCCGTCCAGAATCCTCCGGGTCACCACAGAGGCGGTGCCATTACTCCGGGTCGTGGCCAGAACAGGAGTGGACTGCCGAGACCCAGCAAGTTGCCTGCGCCCAGACCGAAGTGAGTGACGCAAAATTCGTATGTGCCATTTGACTGTTTCTCTGCCGATTATCATTTTTACAATGAAAAATTCATGCTCAGCATGTAATATTAAGAATTGGAGGTCATCCATTTTCAAATGGTGTCTGATAAATTGTGATGACTCTGCATTATTTGTTTTAAATATAGTGACCATTAAATTTTATAGTCATTCTTCTTCAGGAATTTTATTTAGTTTTGAGAGTATATTTTTGGCACCACCAAGAATTTGATTTGTTGCATTTTGCTTTATGCTGGCAGATATTTGAATATAACTTTTCTTATCCTCATTTTAAATGTCAAATAATATTAATACAATTAAAATTTAAAAATAAAATGACCAATGCTAAGAACATTTAGTGACCAGAGGGAGGGAAAGAATAGAGAGGGTCCTTCAAATCCATTCTGGGTTTGGCCAGGCCCGAGATGTCTGGCCAACCACCCCTGAAAAATTTCCGAGGTTTTTTTTGACTCATTTGAATTTGTTCCAGAATCTTCTAGAGCGATAGACCGAGACCATGACTGCTCATTCATCACAACAGTCAAGTTGTTAACAATACCAGTTTTTTTGTGTGTAACCAATAATTCATAGTTTATTTGTTTTCTGAAACTGTGTTTTACTATTTATTGAGTGTTGAACACAAGATTGTGTTATTAATTAAACACTTGGCTTTTTTTCATCTTTATTCAGTTGATAACTTAATAATAATCTTGTGTTCAACACTCAATACCAGTTTTATTTAAACCAAATAAAAGTGATAAATTAACTAGTTTATGGCTGAGAAAAATGCATCATTGTGTTACATCAAACAAACCAATTGTTTCACTGAATTGACAAAAATTAATTATGGTACTAAAGGACAATCTTTGGCATGCAAAAATATGTTTTGATGTAATGGATAGACATCATATATAATCAAAATATCATAATTATGTTCTAAATCATTCCATTCCGTTGATCATGCTTTTGTATGCCAAAGGCAATTGTATAATCATCCAGAAAATGTTTTGTACATTTCTATTATTACATTTTTCAAGTTTTTAAGAAACAAGCTGTTGGTGTATGTTTTTAAAGTAAATTTCCTTAATTTTAGATCAAAGATAATCCAAAATGTTTTGAGTCAAACTGTGTGTGAGAAATCAAGTAAATGATTTGCCTGCCTTAGAACTTAAGCCTTGTATGAATGACAATTTATATTCATATGTTCTTTTAATGGCATAAACAAACATATGAGACATATAACAAATTTCATTTTTATTTTATTTTTGATCAGATTACCAGTGCCTTTCTATCAACCCAAGAAGTCTCAATTGGAAGAAAGTTGGAGCGATGGTTGTTTCTAAACAAAGACTTCCGATCCATATTTGATTTTAATTTCATAAAAACATCTAACTGGCGAAAACGTCCGACTCTTCTCGGTTGAGATTCCGTAATTCCTCGTCGAGTGCGGCCTTTCGACAATCTTTGTCGACCCGAATAGTGCCTTCGACGTTCCTCAAGAAGTTTTTCTGTACATTCCCCGAAGTTCAAATTCGGATACGTGCCGATTGCCGAGAGATCGTAGACTACTACAGATTCGTACACGACTTTCCTTGAATTGTGATTGAATTTTAGAAATAGGGTAAGTCGTATTTACTCGTTCTGTGATATATTTTTTTATTAATTTCTAAAATTACCAAAAGATACTGCATTCATAAGCAGATACGATTTGTATGTACGACATATCATTTGTTAACAATAAATTAATTTATTGATAACACATGTCTTTGGACAACATAAAACAATCATAGGGTACAAAATCTCGTTCTCCGACACCCTCGAGGGCTATGTTTATATGCAATAACATTTTATAATTAGAAATTGTGAGACGAGTAAGAATGTACAGATTAATGACGACGTTCGACGAGTCTAAACCACGTAACCTTCAACCTAAATGTACATAAACTGCACCGAGTAATGTATATATTTTGTAGATTTTTCTTCGAGGACATCAAATTTATGGACCGGCAGTCCCCATAACTAATGCATTTTGTACGACACGTTCTTTTCCCGGCAGGGTATTTGTTTGTGGGTCTAAATGAGAGTGCATTGTTTGCATAAGCAACAATGTGCAGAATACCAAATTTAAAAATCGGCCGCTCTCCATTTAGTTTGCAATCGTGGCTTCAAATTTATTGATCTTCTCATAATTAAACCAAAGGTTTTTCATTTTGTACATTAAACCACGTACTTATCTTTAATTTACATGTTTTGTAAAAATACAATATTCTTTTGTTCGGTTCATTAATTACTTCCGAATGTCGTAACGATAGAAGGAATGTTATTTACTGATTTTATATCTAACAAATTGTTGAAAAGTTTTTATTACATAAAATATTCTATTATGTACTATAAAATATTTAGGATAAAAAGAAATTGTACTGTTTTATTATTAAAACAATTTTTTATCGTATCAGTTTATAAATATTCTGTAAACATCAAAAGAAAATCTATTTTAAAAGTTTTTAATATGCACCTTGTAAATAAACTGTTTTTTGAGAAAAGAGGATTTTAATTAAAGGTGAAATTGATTTGATATAAATCTCATACCACGTCAAAATAAATTCTGCGAACGCGTGAAGTTTCAAGCTCTCGCTTTTGTTTTGAAATTATATGCAATTGTCTGATTTGTTAGATTTCAATAAATATTTTATATAATTGGTAATTCATTTCATGTTTTACAATTATACTTTTAAAGGAATGGCATAAAGAGATCTGCTGTTCTTGAATTGACGGCATATCTTGGACAGAATAAAATTGCATGCGTGTCAACAAAAATGTCATGCGTGTAGAAGGTGTCAGAATCGGGCAAGACTTTATTAATGCAAATGTTAATAACAAGGCTAGTGAGTGATTGCAGTATTGTAGCAAAGGGATGGTTTCGGTGGAATGACGGTATGATTTAAAGTTAACTAATCTCCAAAACTGGAATATATTACTTAAACACAGACAATATATGTTGGTTCAGATGTTTTAATTCAAATTATAAACAGACAAAAACATTTGTAAAAGTGCTAATTTGAGTTAATATATGCTAGTTCAGGTATTTTCTCTGTGTTTAAGTACAATTTAAAGAAACTTTGTAGGACCTTCTCTTGCCTGAATATATGTGGTGATAGCATATGATGCCTGACCCTATTTTGTGACAAATTTCTCACATGTTACAACTGTCATACTGGATCCATCGAATTGTAGATGGATGAAGCTAGCAAGCCAAGGAAGCATGGTCATCCAAAGGAGACATTCTGGGAAATACTAGGCATAAATGACCAAATATCTTTTATAGTAGGGCTGCAAACGGGCATGTAGGATTTTCCAAATGTATAATACCACTAGTGGGAGCAGCCGATGTACGAAGTGGATCCCAGACCGGCACGTCACTTGGCAATAAAAATGCTTGCCAATAGTTGTCTATTTTCAAAGAGAACCAAGATCCATTGTCAAAGACTCTGTGCTACAATCCGAAGTAGCACTCACTCCTCCGACAAGGCATTCAGTGGCTAATGGCAAGACGTGTAGCAGTCAGCATGCTTGTAAATTTTCATCCGTTAGTCACCCGCTAGCAGTGTGAAAAGAGACGGGGTTCTGCCTATCTTCAAAGTGGGGTATCTACCGATATTGAAAAGTAAGTAGATTTTAAGGAAAAGGTTATGTACGCAATTCATCGTCTAATCGATAAAAGAAATTGTCAGCATCACAGAGAGAAGTGTATGTACTTTCATTATCTAAGTATATACTTTTGGACAAGCCTAAGGAAGACTGGTCATCACAAACAGGATCAAGAAAATCTTGTGGTCCAGCATAAATGATTTAATAGTAAGATTATCCTGTTCTTCTGTCTATTTTTATATTTATTGAAATGATTATAAGTTATAAACTACTAATAATTTCTCAAGTTGGTAGTAAATTGCCATGGATAAATTACTAGTAGCCATGTCTGTATAAAAGCATAATACAGATCTCTTGGCATTTGGATCATAAAATCTTTAAAATAGCTGCCCTTTTAGACAGTTTTTTTGCTTATTATGAGGGAAAGTGACAGCATTTCATCACAAGTAGGTGTTCTCAAAAGATTATAACCATTCTATTATTTTCAATTTTGGAAAAATTTTAGTCAGGATAATGATATAATTTCTCTATTACTATTAATTCTTTGACCAGTTTTGCTGTAGAAATTCTCCTTGTAGTCTGAGGGATGAAAGAAGAAATTTTCATAGCTTAGAGTTAAAAATTTACAAATTTAGAAGAAACAAAGTAGAAATGTCTTTATATCAACTTGTTTCTGAGGAGTTTAGGAAGAGACATGAAGGAATTTTTATGTTTTAGTATTTCTTCTAAATTTTCAGTTTTTTTTATGAAGAAAAAAGTAAGTCTGAAGGTTTACACTTTGATGGTTGTAGATACAGTATATGAGAGACTAGAAAATAAGTTTGTCGTTACGGATGTGTCTGGTACACGATACGATTATAGGTGGGACATCGTTCACCCATACCATTTGTGAACAATCACAATGATCTAAACTATTATATTATTGCATGGCCATTCAGCTGAATATAAATCCAAGAAAATCAGAAAACTTAGAAATTAAAGTATTCAATTCATTTGGACATTTGTCGAAATAAACGCACTAGGGTTTTTATCTCCAAGTGGCAATTTTGGCACTTTGCAGCATGACACCTTGTCATCTGAACTAATAAAAATAGTATGCCAGTTAAGGTATGATGTAGTGTGTTTTATATGCATATAAAAACATAATTTTAGCAGATATTAAAAGTACATGCATCTCATCCTTAAATAGTAGATGGGCTCATTTCAAGTTTTGAGGATTTCTGAAAACTTAAAATAAGGGAACAAACTTTATGATATTTATTCAACATTGTAAAATGTACAGTAGGTGTATTATTTATTTCCTTACTATGGGTATAAAGAAGGATAAATTACACTTCCTTTGCACATACAGTTGCCATTTCAACTAATGATTACCAACTGATACTACTAATGAAAAATAAAAAACTATCTATTATATATAGTTGTTTGTTTTATACAGAATGCCAAATTAAATAGCTAAATAAATACTCACCAGATGACTAATTTCAATGAAACATACACATGTGTTTATTTTCTATAGAGCCGTGATTAATTCCACGGATGATATGATGTATATATTTTGATTTGGCCATTAACTCCTTTCTGAAAATCGGGCCAGGCCGAAACCGACCCAGATACATCTTTTAAATTACATAAATTCTTAATGTCGTCAGACGAAAGAACTTTATTCCAAAGATTAACCCTGAAAAATACAAACGAAAATATAAACATACTCTTTTGTTGTATTGTGAGCAATAAATTTAACAATAAATACCTGGTAATATTTCCGATGAATGTTTCCGTGGGACTAAACTCTCCTCCCACGCAATCTTGTTCTTGTCCGATAATTAGAGATCCGCCACCAGGTATCTGTTGATTAGTTTGCAGATTTTCTCCCGAAGCTATGAGATTTCCATTTTTATATAAATTCCAGGAACCTTTTAATAAAATTGTACTTTTGTTACAAACTGTATTACCTCTATTATTATATAATGTTAAAAAATTGCTATTTATATAATTAAAATTTAATATTTCAAATAAACCAACCATATCTTTGATAGAATATAAAAAAAAAACAAACATATTAGACTCATTCTTTTTTGATTCTCTGTTTTACAACTGATACAGATTTTTCTATTATGATTGTTTGATAATAAAATAGTATGTATTATGTAATTAAAATGCTAGCAGGCTGGACAGGCCAGTAAAAAAACCTTCTTAGTGCATACAGGTTGGAGAGTCAAAGAAATATATACAGTAAAACCACTTTACATTGGATACCTCTGGCTCCACAAGAAATTTCCATGCTTTTGAGATAAAAATTGGACACAATGTAGATTTGCAGATATATATATATTATTCTAAGATGTCATAAGCCAAATGTTTGTACATGTTGAGTGAATAACATATCAGCTCAATATGGTACAGCAGTTGAAGAAAAATCAGTAACATTTTAAACAAGAATGCAATCATTTAATCTTGCTTTGGATTTCTATGGTAAACTGGCTCCTATTTATATATTAGATACGTGAAGAAAACAAGGAAAACACCACATACCAGCCCATTGGCGAGGATTGAACTATCAACTAATTAGCTCGGTGTTCAATGATTTTAGCCATGCAGCCACTAGGAGGCAAGTCAGACGGTCGGATGGACGATAAGCCGTCGACCTAATACCCTGCGGGTGGAGAAAACCCAAGGATTTTTTGGGGATATGTTGGTCCTATTCCTCACCACTTAGCCGCATCCACCATAGGTTTGAAAAAAGGGTCTCTTATGGTGCTCATACAAGGAGGGAAAAATTGTAGAAAAATTTTTATATAATTTATACTCAATGATTGATGTAGATTCAAAAATACATTCAAACACAGATCAGATTCAGAACAATGAACGCCAACTAATTGCGAATAAAAACTGTCAAATTTTTTTACCAAATCTAAAAAAGATTAACCAAGTGTATAGTCAATTGCTAGCTCTTTTCTTAATGAAGAAATGGTGCCTGAGGCTATTGTTAAACGTGAAATGTGGAAAATCTCTCCTTATAGTATTTGGGTACCTATTGGTTTTTAACAGGACACCTGTCTAGGATGACTCAACTGTTAAGAATTAGACACACAAATTTCTGAAAATGTCAGAGATACGGAGTATCACATATGTGCAAACATGTACAAGATGTTGAGGTGTCTGGGATATAGGAGTGTCCAAGTTGACAGGTTTTACTGTATATATTTTTGTTTTTTGCCTACATGAATATAGTTAAAACTTAATTTTCAGCAACACAGTCTGAGTTTTCAGAAATTTATTCTTATTTTCTATAAAGACAACGTAATAAGTGAACAAGCTATAAAAATGGGGTCTACTCTACTTTTTAAAAAATTAGTTCTCGTAAAGAAAGTAAGAATAACATGTTAATTTGTTTAAGCATGTCATCATAGAAAGCACCATATACTTAGAAATAATTAATCAAATAATTCTATTTTGCAGTAATAAAATATTTTAAAATGCTTTATCCAAAACTTTTAAATAAGTAAATTTATTACCGTCATTAGACGACCACGTAAATATCACGTGATGCCAATTGCCATCGTTCAACTTTATATTAGTATATACCGGCTCGTCGTTGATATAAATTTTTAAAGATCCGTAGTCCGTGAGCGTAAGGGCATTGGCTACACTATGCCGAAGTCGATCTCTGGCAGCGTACGATATCATTGCTCCCTGTCGATATTTATCCGTCGTCTGCACCCACATACTTATCGTAGTGGAAGACATCTGTGGTATTCGGTTTGCAATGGCAAAATTAGATATGGACGGATTATTAAATGACATCATGAAATCCGAAGGAAGTTCTGCAAATTATTACGTTCATTAATAAAACTGAAAAATTTTTATTCAAAATTTATTTTTTGATTAAATAAAACAAAAAAATTATATAGAATAGATCCCTGCTTTTACAAATGAAATTAATGTGAAGTTTTTTGGTGAATGTCTGTGCGCCATCAGTGAGATGAAGTAACATGTATTAAAGTAGATATGTATAATTTATTATAGTTATTGTTGTAATTAAAATTAAATAAATTTATACTAACGTTGTTCACAAAAGAGTCCAGAATATCCAGGTAAACATAAACATTCATAACCATTCACATGATCGATACATGTCGAACCCATTGCACACTGGTGACCAATACAGTCATCGTGATTTATTTCACAATGTCTGCCAACGTAGCCAGGCAAGCACAAACAAGTGTAATTCATAACTCCATCTAAACAACTAAATTTATAAAATAAAATTAGCAAATCACATTTATTAAAAATCTTCATTTCAACAGTTAATTATTTCTATAAAAAAAGTCATTGATAAAGTTCCAAAATTAATTTTATTTCACTTGATAAATATATTACGATCAGAGATTGAAATTTATTTACTACTACTATTTTGCCTTTTGTGGCTATAAAATTCAATCTTTATTGTAAATCCATGTTCATTCTTGTTTAGTTCTTTGTAAAAAGTAAGTAAACCTCTAGGAATATAAAAATTTAAAAATTTACTATAGAAAATCCAACAAAATTTGTCTAGAGGGTCAAAAGTAGTAGGATTTATTCAGAAGGGCTCTACAGTAATGCCCAGTAAAAATGCAATCTTTGAGCAGAAAAAAGTCTCAATTGCTACCAAATCCAATCTCTAATTACGATATAATCCAAGGGTCGGCAACATATGACACGCGGGACAATTTTCAGTGGCACACTGAATAGAAATTAGTAAAAAATTAAATTTTAATTATTAATTTTTGAAGTCCATTATAAATGGACCAACTTTGATACTATATATAACAAAATTGGTATAATAATGTTGGCATCCGGAATAACACTATAACTTAGGTTCAGCACAACATTGCTGAAAGGTTGCCGATCAATAGTATTTTATAATTTTCAGCCTGTTGCCACAGAGAATTTGGATTTGAACTTAATCCAGACTTCTATAATTTATCATTGGCAATACGGCTTGGCATTCTTTCCCATTCTCGTCCATATTGGCTGGGGATTTGTAAGCAATATATTAGGGCCTTATGATTTTAGGAATCTCACATATACACAAATATATACTTAGCTAAGAACCTAGACTTTGCAAAACAAATGTTGTGTAATACTGGCTTTACATTGTATAAATTTAAAAAATGAGTTTTACAAATCCACTCTTGCTTAGGATATTAAAACCAGTTTGACTTTTAACTCAGCTCAATTTTATTCTTATACAAAAATGTTACTGATATTGAATAATAATTCAAAAAATCAACTATTAATATAGTATTTAAGAAATTAAATTACCTTCCTCCATTCATGCATGTAACAAATAAACAGTCGTCTATATTGATACTGCAATCTGCACCTTCAAAACCGGGTAAACAATGACAGAGTCTGTCGTTATTTATTTCCTCACAGTACGCTTCATTAGCACAAGGATATTTTTCGCAAATGTCTATGTCGATTTCACAAAATCGACCTTCGTATCCGGGAAGACAAAGGCATTCAAATCCTGCAATCTATTTAAATAAAAGTCTAAATTAAAAAGCGATAAGCAAATTTATTTAAGCTATATGTTTTAATATACTTGATCGACACAAATAGCAAAATTTTCACACGGATTTGATTCACACTCGTTTATTTCTTCGTGACAAGTAGAACCATTAAATCCTGGAGGGCAAAGACATTGAAAATCGGCAACTAGAAATAAAGATTTAATAGAATTGTCATATTTTTGTCTTATATAAATCTTTCTGTAATATTATTTAAATATTAAGTAAATCATTTCCTCTGACTTACTTACAAATATATTTTAAATTTAAATTTTTACTACAAAGCTATTTAAAATTTTTCTTTAAAAAATCTTACAAATTGAAGACTAAATACAAATAAAAATTTGATGCTTTCACATATTCTTCACGATCACAGGAACACAATTAAAATGAGCAAAGTCAATCTTTTCTTTGGGTCTCTTAATCAATTTACATATTCATAAGCAGAGAAAAAGTCCCTCTTGCACCAGATTTTTACTTTCCTGGCTCTGTTATATATAACAGAGGGAAAGTATTGTGATTTGTCAAAAGTGACCCTCCCCATTATTTGACTGATTTCATTCTAAATATCTAATATTTAAAAAGAAGTAAAATAAATAAATAAATACATTAGATTGTAAAAACAGAGATGTATTTTTAACATCTGTTATTAAGTAAGCTTTTGTAAATCAAATTCTAATTTTTCATTGACTCAATGACACAAATTGAGATACAGTTTGAACTATATAATATTACATTATAATGGTCGATAAAAATATGATAATTCACAAATTAAAACAGGTAATTTATAGTAGTTATAAGCAGAGTTGTGGCTAGAGCATTTGGCACCAGATGCAAACTTAAATACGGCACTTTTTGGATAAGCCTTTCATTAGTCTGTTACAAATTTAAAAGTACTGAAACACTAAATTCACGATAATGAAACAATTTCAGCTAAAATTGACTGAGAATAATTATCAGTTAATATCCTATAAAATTAATAAAATATTTCTATAAGCAAGCTATGAACAAATACAAGGTATAATAATCTCGGAATGTTTTAAGGGAACAAAAATCAAGTAAAGAATTCATGTAGATGCATTTCTTTAACTCATTAAACAAGAATTACTACAACTCGGACTGCCCTGCAGCTGGGATGTGCCTCTGTCGCGGTCTTCTCTGCGAACGAGGCACTAGGCGTAATGAGTGTGTTGGGACGCTGGTCCAAAGACCCAAGAATTACAAATGTTTAAGATAATGTTTTATCAATAGTCAACCAGCATAAATTTGCTAGTTTCTTTATATGCGTATTCTCAGAAGTCAACTAAACAGTTTGGACTAGATCTTATATATGAGACAGTTTCTTGGCAAGTATTTTAACCTAAATTATTTTAATAACAAATGAATGACAACATCTCTGAATAAGTACGTACAGAAAAATAAATGTAGTTAGTTTCATCTTTCTATTGTCAATTGGAAATATATCTAAAATATAAGATATTTTACCTAAATCGATACAAGTGCTTCCTTCGGCACACGGTAAATGCTGGCAATCGTCGATATTTACTTCACAAAAACTTCCAGTAAATCCTTCTGGACATAAACAATTATAATTAAATTTTCCATTTACGCAATCTGCACCATTCATGCAAGGATTATTGTTACAATGATCATATTCTGAAATATTAAAATGTATTTTTAGTTTTCTTATAATTAGTTATCTTATTAACATTATATATCTCAATTTATTAAATGATCTCATGTTATAGCACTCATAAATTTATAAAACACATTTTTTCCTAAAAAATACACACCAATTTCAGAAAGGAATGTCTTATATGCATGCAAATTTTTTCTTTGAAAATGGAGTCCGTCTTATATGCTAGCAAATACAGTACATAATGTAACATAACGTAACATTGGAAAGAAATGCAACGTAACTAAAATTTTTGGAAAATAGTTAACAAAAGTGATATGGAAAGTGATTTTTTGGAGATTAATGAAACTATATATTATTAGAAGCAAATCATCTAATTTTATACTAGTTTCTTCAGTCATATAAATAAATGAATAAATGAAATAATACATACAGTAGAACTGTATGTATTATCAGTTAAGAAGTTTTTCAAGGGACCAATTTAAAAAAAACTTTTTAAGCAGAAATGAAAGATAACAAGCAATTAATTATTTATTATAACATCGTCACAATGCCGGGCTGCAATTTTTAATTTATTTAATTTAAAATATATGGTCTCCAGCTCAAATTAGTATTGTCTTGCCCCTGTACATCATAAGTATTCAGAAACTTATGATCAAATATTGTAATATTGGGTCACAACGCAAAGTTGGTACATGTGTGCTTGCACTTGCGTGTCCATGACTCACATGGTACAGGATTGATCTTTTACCTCAATGCTACATGATCCATTGGTGGCCACACCTTTTTTAATTTTATAGTAATTATTATGTTGTTTTTTATTTTCATGTAAAATTTATTTAGAAATATACAATATTTTTGATTAATTTTATGAATAACAGCTGTCTGAATGATCTGGAGGTTTCAAACTTCATCTGAAATTAAATTAAATCTATGACCATGCAAATAATTTTGGGTCTAATTTAAAGCTGTGATTTTTGCGTCGGATCCTCTAAGAAAAGGTCGGCATCAATTGTATTGTGTGTATTTTTTAATGTCATTTCGTCAGTTTTTAAGTTGTCAGCCATCTGTCTCTAGTTGAATTATTAAAAAAAAATATTTTGTAAAGACCCAAAATTATTTGTATGGTCATAGATTTAATTTAATCAACAAATTTATCCTTGGAACTTTGTAACTAATGCATCTGAAATGTTTCGTCGATCTAAAGGAAATTCAGACTGCATAATGCTTTAGTAGGAGGTTTATTCAACAAGTTTTCTCTATTTTCAGTAAAAAAAAAAGTTAATTTTTATTATTATTTCCTTCATTCAAATCAAAATATAACTTAAAATTTGTATGATTTTTACTAGCATGAAAATTCTTGTGGCATCAACATTCATCAACATAACATACATTATTTTGCCAATTAGGAAAATTATAATATAAACTAACTAGTACTGCGACACACTGACGGTACACGTGGCAAATTATATAAAACTAGTTCTTACAGGAAAAAATTACTATGTTAAGTGCTACAACATGGTTCCAGGACTGGTCAACATATTTATTTTTCTTAAGAATCTTAACCTCATTTTTACTACACTATGTAGTGACATTACAAAGAAATTCTTCTTTTTCTCTAGTGTACTTAAGGTTACTGCAATAGGTTCTGTAATCTTCACATATTCTTTAAGTAAATCTAGTTCATTGGATTTAAAAGGTGAAAGGTTTAAAACTTTAGAGATGTCCGATAGATCAATCAGTTCAATAACACCTTAACTGTACTGAACTGTGAATTCCAGCAAGTAAAACAAGAAAAGATAATTGTGTTTTCCTTTATCACAAATTTTCTCTACTTCATCAGATGCCTTTGCAAACTAAGAAGAGTATTCAAAAAGAAAAATAGCTTATTTGGTTAAAAACTGGAGGAGATGAAGAAGTTGTTAATTTGAAAATTCATAAATTTGAAAAAGTTTTTCTTAAAATTTCCATAAAAAATAATAATAAATTTATGTTCAAATAAAGAAACTTGGTTAATTTATTATATACTGCATCACATACATATATTCTCTTTTATATAATATAGATAAAAATAATATATAAATTTGTACATACCAAGACAAGCAGATTCTGAATCAGATTTAATATCTATTGTAGTTAGATTTTCAGGGCACATTATACAAAATGTTTGACCGTGTTCATCTTGATAATATCCGAGATCGCAAGGAATACAAGGCTCGAGACCAGTTTCGGAATAACTGCCTGGCATACATTTTTCTAAAAAAAAAAAAGAATTTAGAATTATTATTAATTAATTTAATCAAATTTTATTGTATTAGATGTTATAGAAACATGTAAAGATCTTATAAGTTCATTTTTTAACAATTCTTTGTTTTATTTACATTAAGATAGCTCTTTTGTGTGCTTAAACCACAATGGATTCTAAGTAATAAGAAAGAAAGCTTGATGTATCTAAATCAAACTATACATGAAAAATTTTACAGTTCCATTCTGAACTTGAACCCAGATTCTTAGATAGCAAGTTGACTGATTTTATTGCTGCTTCATCAGTTGTTAAATTGTGAATTCGCTGAACTTGAACACAATTAACACTTGCTTGAGACCTGTGAATATCACAGGTCTCAAGCGAGTGTTATTTGTATATGTTTTTTAAAAATAATGATGAACCGTGCACTTACTCTCACTAATGGGGTTAATTAAGCAGTTGCCCCAATTAAATGAACTAATAATAAATTCTATAATAAAATATGTAATACTTAGGTAAATAAATAAGTAGGTAAAAAATAATAATTACATACCTATTTTAATGCTTTATTAAACCAAAATACAGAAAATATTTGTACTACAAATTTGCCAGACTCACGATGATAGATCACTGATTTGCATAATGCTAGATGCCANCATCGTTCAACTTTATATTAGTATATACCGGCTCGTCGTTGATATAAATTTTTAAAGATCCGTAGTCCGTGAGCGTAAGGGCATTGGCTACACTATGCCGAAGTCGATCTCTGGCAGCGTACGATATCATTGCTCCCTGTCGATATTTATCCGTCGTCTGCACCCACATACTTATCGTAGTGGAAGACATCTGTGGTATTCGGTTTGCAATGGCAAAATTAGATATGGACGGATTATTAAATGACATCATGAAATCCGAAGGAAGTTCTGCAAATTATTACGTTCATTAATAAAACTGAAAAATTTTTATTCAAAATTTATTTTTTGATTAAATAAAACAAAAAAATTATATAGAATAGATCCCTGCTTTTACAAATGAAATTAATGTGAAGTTTTTTGGTGAATGTCTGTGCGCCATCAGTGAGATGAAGTAACATGTATTAAAGTAGATATGTATAATTTATTATAGTTATTGTTGTAATTAAAATTAAATAAATTTATACTAACGTTGTTCACAAAAGAGTCCAGAATATCCAGGTAAACATAAACATTCATAACCATTCACATGATCGATACATGTCGAACCCATTGCACACTGGTGACCAATACAGTCATCGTGATTTATTTCACAATGTCTGCCAACGTAGCCAGGCAAGCACAAACAAGTGTAATTCATAACTCCATCTAAACAACTAAATTTATAAAATAAAATTAGCAAATCACATTTATTAAAAATCTTCATTTCAACAGTTAATTATTTCTATAAAAAAAGTCATTGATAAAGTTCCAAAATTAATTTTATTTCACTTGATAAATATATTACGATCAGAGATTGAAATTTATTTACTACTACTATTTTGCCTTTTGTGGCTATAAAATTCAATCTTTATTGTAAATCCATGTTCATTCTTGTTTAGTTCTTTGTAAAAAGTAAGTAAACCTCTAGGAATATAAAAATTTAAAAATTTACTATAGAAAATCCAACAAAATTTGTCTAGAGGGTCAAAAGTAGTAGGATTTATTCAGAAGGGCTCTACAGTAATGCCCAGTAAAAATGCAATCTTTGAGCAGAAAAAAGTCTCAATTGCTACCAAATCCAATCTCTAATTACGATATAATCCAAGGGTCGGCAACATATGACACGCGGGACAATTTTCAGTGGCACACTGAATAGAAATTAGTAAAAAATTAAATTTTAATTATTAATTTTTGAAGTCCATTATAAATGGACCAACTTTGATACTATATATAACAAAATTGGTATAATAATGTTGGCATCCGGAATAACACTATAACTTAGGTTCAGCACAACATTGCTGAAAGGTTGCCGATCAATAGTATTTTATAATTTTCAGCCTGTTGCCACAGAGAATTTGGATTTGAACTTAATCCAGACTTCTATAATTTATCATTGGCAATACGGCTTGGCATTCTTTCCCATTCTCGTCCATATTGGCTGGGGATTTGTAAGCAATATATTAGGGCCTTATGATTTTAGGAATCTCACATATACACAAATATATACTTAGCTAAGAACCTAGACTTTGCAAAACAAATGTTGTGTAATACTGGCTTTACATTGTATAAATTTAAAAAATGAGTTTTACAAATCCACTCTTGCTTAGGATATTAAAACCAGTTTGACTTTTAACTCAGCTCAATTTTATTCTTATACAAAAATGTTACTGATATTGAATAATAATTCAAAAAATCAACTATTAATATAGTATTTAAGAAATTAAATTACCTTCCTCCATTCATGCATGTAACAAATAAACAGTCGTCTATATTGATACTGCAATCTGCACCTTCAAAACCGGGTAAACAATGACAGAGTCTGTCGTTATTTATTTCCTCACAGTACGCTTCATTAGCACAAGGATATTTTTCGCAAATGTCTATGTCGATTTCACAAAATCGACCTTCGTATCCGGGAAGACAAAGGCATTCAAATCCTGCAATCTATTTAAATAAAAGTCTAAATTAAAAAGCGATAAGCAAATTTATTTAAGCTATATGTTTTAATATACTTGATCGACACAAATAGCAAAATTTTCACACGGATTTGATTCACACTCGTTTATTTCTTCGTGACAAGTAGAACCATTAAATCCTGGAGGGCAAAGACATTGAAAATCGGCAACTAGAAATAAAGATTTAATAGAATTGTCATATTTTTGTCTTATATAAATCTTTCTGTAATATTATTTAAATATTAAGTAAATCATTTCCTCTGACTTACTTACAAATATATTTTAAATTTAAATTTTTACTACAAAGCTATTTAAAATTTTTCTTTAAAAAATCTTACAAATTGAAGACTAAATACAAATAAAAATTTGATGCTTTCACATATTCTTCACGATCACAGGAACACAATTAAAATGAGCAAAGTCAATCTTTTCTTTGGGTCTCTTAATCAATTTACATATTCATAAGCAGAGAAAAAGTCCCTCTTGCACCAGATTTTTACTTTCCTGGCTCTGTTATATATAACAGAGGGAAAGTATTGTGATTTGTCAAAAGTGACCCTCCCCATTATTTGACTGATTTCATTCTAAATATCTAATATTTAAAAAGAAGTAAAATAAATAAATAAATACATTAGATTGTAAAAACAGAGATGTATTTTTAACATCTGTTATTAAGTAAGCTTTTGTAAATCAAATTCTAATTTTTCATTGACTCAATGACACAAATTGAGATACAGTTTGAACTATATAATATTACATTATAATGGTCGATAAAAATATGATAATTCACAAATTAAAACAGGTAATTTATAGTAGTTATAAGCAGAGTTGTGGCTAGAGCATTTGGCACCAGATGCAAACTTAAATACGGCACTTTTTGGATAAGCCTTTCATTAGTCTGTTACAAATTTAAAAGTACTGAAACACTAAATTCACGATAATGAAACAATTTCAGCTAAAATTGACTGAGAATAATTATCAGTTAATATCCTATAAAATTAATAAAATATTTCTATAAGCAAGCTATGAACAAATACAAGGTATAATAATCTCGGAATGTTTTAAGGGAACAAAAATCAAGTAAAGAATTCATGTAGATGCATTTCTTTAACTCATTAAACAAGAATTACTACAACTCGGACTGCCCTGCAGCTGGGATGTGCCTCTGTCGCGGTCTTCTCTGCGAACGAGGCACTAGGCGTAATGAGTGTGTTGGGACGCTGGTCCAAAGACCCAAGAATTACAAATGTTTAAGATAATGTTTTATCAATAGTCAACCAGCATAAATTTGCTAGTTTCTTTATATGCGTATTCTCAGAAGTCAACTAAACAGTTTGGACTAGATCTTATATATGAGACAGTTTCTTGGCAAGTATTTTAACCTAAATTATTTTAATAACAAATGAATGACAACATCTCTGAATAAGTACGTACAGAAAAATAAATGTAGTTAGTTTCATCTTTCTATTGTCAATTGGAAATATATCTAAAATATAAGATATTTTACCTAAATCGATACAAGTGCTTCCTTCGGCACACGGTAAATGCTGGCAATCGTCGATATTTACTTCACAAAAACTTCCAGTAAATCCTTCTGGACATAAACAATTATAATTAAATTTTCCATTTACGCAATCTGCACCATTCATGCAAGGATTATTGTTACAATGATCATATTCTGAAATATTAAAATGTATTTTTAGTTTTCTTATAATTAGTTATCTTATTAACATTATATATCTCAATTTATTAAATGATCTCATGTTATAGCACTCATAAATTTATAAAACACATTTTTTCCTAAAAAATACACACCAATTTCAGAAAGGAATGTCTTATATGCATGCAAATTTTTTCTTTGAAAATGGAGTCCGTCTTATATGCTAGCAAATACAGTACATAATGTAACATAACGTAACATTGGAAAGAAATGCAACGTAACTAAAATTTTTGGAAAATAGTTAACAAAAGTGATATGGAAAGTGATTTTTTGGAGATTAATGAAACTATATATTATTAGAAGCAAATCATTAATTTTATACTAGTTTCTTCAGTCATATAAATAAATGAATAAATGAAATAATACATACAGTAGAACTGTATGTATTATCAGTTAAGAAGTTTTTCAAGGGACCAATTTAAAAAAAACTTTTTAAGCAGAAATGAAAGATAACAAGCAATTAATTATTTATTATAACATCGTCACAATGCCGGGCTGCAATTTTTAATTTATTTAATTTAAAATATATGGTCTCCAGCTCAAATTAGTATTGTCTTGCCCCTGTACATCATAGGTATTCAGAAACTTATGATCAAATATTGTAATATTGGGTCACAACGCAAAGTTGGTACATGTGTGCTTGCACTTGCGTGTCCATGACTCACATGGTACAGGATTGATCTTTTACCTCAATGCTACATGATCCATTGGTGGCCACACCTTTTTTAATTTTATAGTAATTATTATGTTGTTTTTTATTTTCATGTAAAATTTATTTAGAAATATACAATATTTTTGATTAATTTTATGAATAACAGCTGTCTGAATGATCTGGAGGTTTCAAACTTCATCTGAAATTAAATTAAATCTATGACCATGCAAATAATTTTGGGTCTAATTTAAAGCTGTGATTTTTGCGTCGGATCCTCTAAGAAAAGGTCGGCATCAATTGTATTGTGTGTATTTTTTAATGTCATTTCGTCAGTTTTTAAGTTGTCAGCCATCTGTCTCTAGTTGAATTATTAAAAAAAAATATTTTGTAAAGACCCAAAATTATTTGTATGGTCATAGATTTAATTTAATCAACAAATTTATCCTTGGAACTTTGTAACTAATGCATCTGAAATGTTTCGTCGATCTAAAGGAAATTCAGACTGCATAATGCTTTAGTAGGAGGTTTATTCAACAAGTTTTCTCTATTTTCAGTAAAAAAAAAAGTTAATTTTTATTATTATTTCCTTCATTCAAATCAAAATATAACTTAAAATTTGTATGATTTTTACTAGCATGAAAATTCTTGTGGCATCATGTATTCATCAACATAACATACATTATTTTGCCAATTAGGAAAATTATAATATAAACTAACTAGTACTGCGACACACTGACGGTACACGTGGCAAATTATATAAAACTAGTTCTTACAGGAAAAAATTACTATGTTAAGTGCTACAACATGGTTCCAGGACTGGTCAACATATTTATTTTTCTTAAGAATCTTAACCTCATTTTTACTACACTATGTAGTGACATTACAAAGAAATTCTTCTTTTTCTCTAGTGTACTTAAGGTTACTGCAATAGGTTCTGTAATCTTCACATATTCTTTAAGTAAATCTAGTTCATTGGATTTAAAAGGTGAAAGGTTTAAAACTTTAGAGATGTCCGATAGATCAATCAGTTCAATAACACCTTAACTGTACTGAACTGTGAATTCCAGCAAGTAAAACAAGAAAAGATAATTGTGTTTTCCTTTATCACAAATTTTCTCTACTTCATCAGATGCCTTTGCAAACTAAGAAGAGTATTCAAAAAGAAAAATAGCTTATTTGGTTAAAAACTGGAGGAGATGAAGAAGTTGTTAATTTGAAAATTCATAAATTTGAAAAAGTTTTTCTTAAAATTTCCATAAAAAATAATAATAAATTTATGTTCAAATAAAGAAACTTGGTTAATTTATTATATACTGCATCACATACATATATTCTCTTTTATATAATATAGATAAAAATAATATATAAATTTGTACATACCAAGACAAGCAGATTCTGAATCAGATTTAATATCTATTGTAGTTAGATTTTCAGGGCACATTATACAAAATGTTTGACCGTGTTCATCTTGATAATATCCGAGATCGCAAGGAATACAAGGCTCGAGACCAGTTTCGGAATAACTGCCTGGCATACATTTTTCTAAAAAAAAAAAAGAATTTAGAATTATTTTTTAATTAATTTAATCAAATTTTATTGTATTAGATGTTATAGAAACATGTAAAGATCTTATAAGTTCATTTTTTAACAATTCTTTGTTTTATTTACATTAAGATAGCTCTTTTGTGTGCTTAAACCACAATGGATTCTAAGTAATAAGAAAGAAAGCTTGATGTATCTAAATCAAACTATACATGAAAAATTTTACAGTTCCATTCTGAACTTGAACCCAGATTCTTAGATAGCAAGTTGACTGATTTTATTGCTGCTTCATCAGTTGTTAAATTGTGAATTCGCTGAACTTGAACACAATTAACACTTGCTTGAGACCTGTGAATATCACAGGTCTCAAGCGAGTGTTATTTGTATATGTTTTTTAAAAATAATGATGAACCGTGCACTTACTCTCACTAATGGGGTTAATTAAGCAGTTGCCCCAATTAAATGAACTAATAATAAATTCTATAATAAAATATGTAATACTTAGGTAAATAAATAAGTAGGTAAAAAATAATAATTACATACCTATTTTAATGCTTTATTAAACCAAAATACAGAAAATATTTGTACTACAAATTTGCCAGACTCACGATGATAGATCACTGATTTGCATAATGCTAGATGCCATATATTAGTAGTGACATATACAAGGGTTGAATATTTGATCCGTTCTTGAACAGACAATTTTTTCTTTCTTTCTTTCTTTTTAGTTAGTTAGAACATGTTCTAACTAAAAAGGGAGAAAGAAAAGGGTTTGTCCAAAAGTCATTTTACAGTCTTCCTTTGGGCACAGTTTCTTTTACTTGGAGATGGGCCACTTCGGCAGGAGTGTCTGTAGAATCCTCCAGCTCGATGCTGGTCTCAACAATAGGATGACTGCTGTCTGAATCTAGACGTAATTATGCACACAATACCTTCCAAGGGAACACTGTCTTTCAACTCAGTCGAGAGACCTCAAAAAATTGTCCGGGAATCTTTGTCCCTTCGCTTTTAAGGGGATCATCTGGTCCAATCCAGGTCCACCTCAGACAAAATATCCATGTGATACATTCTGCTATGCTGACCCCCTCCGGAAAAACCAAACTGTCCGAGCAAAAGACAAAATCACTTCTTTGTCTCTGCTAACCATTTGGCCTATATGACATTAGTGTATACAGTGCCTACATATTTTCAGAAGATTATTAAAATATATCAAAAATTGTTAAATTTCTTTTCTGCTACTATCCCAATTAAGCGATTAAATTATGTATTAATTTATTACTTTGGTTTCTGTTCTTTGAGATTTGACCCAAGAAAGCAGGTGGCCCAATTAAACGGAATCGATTGTATATGTATGTATGTATATATATATATATATACATATGTATGTATGTATATATATATATATACCAGCTTTCACAAGTTTATATCATAGGCAGATTCTTTCAGGTTTTTACTATATGTACTTACGCAATATTATCCGTACATTTCTAAATTCAACAGTTGACTCAACGGTGAGAGAACAACGTTTCTAAATCGACTGTTGAGTTCTCCGTTGAGACTAGTGACGTCAGTGCTGTTTCCCCATTGAGCTCAATGGTCTCAACACCTGAAAGTCCGTTGAGTATTCAACAAACTAACGTGGCGGCTTCCATAAAAAAGTAAATTTCTCTTATAGGAACTATCCATTTGCTCTTGCTATGGATGGTGTAATAGCGGATAGATTAATGAACGATCTGTATATAATAAAACATGTGATTGCGCGATTATGTTGGATAATTTGGTCAATATGAAATATTAAGATTTTTTTTCATTTGTCCAAAACTGATTACGACCGATATTTGGCCCTCTAAATCTTTCTAATGATACAAATATTCAAGAAATTAATTAAAATTATTAAAGAAAGACCCAGTATACAAGAAAATGATACAGATATAGGTTCATTTGAATACAAAGATTTATTCAAATGATGGTTAAGCGAATTACTTTAATTATTTAGCAAAACAGTCACAATTGCTACCTTCTTGTTACTTAAGTCAGTCATCTTAAAAAGTGACCTCTCAATGAAAGCGCTTCATTTTTCTGCAAAACGTGACGTCAGTACGTTCAACAGAGGGACTCAATGGAAAATTCACTGTTGAGTCAACCGTTGAATATAGAAACGTACAGTATATAAACTTATTCATGATCTTAGGAACTGTACTCCATTATCATCTATATTTTTTGTTTGACTTACAATGGTAGTCTTAGAATGGAATTAGGAGTCAAGGACTATCTGTAATTAATTGATATGGTTAAAAAAATAATTACCTCTGCATTCCTCACTACTTATAGTTCCTTCAATCCAAGTTGTTGTTAATGGAGGACATGATATGCATGAAGTTTGAAAAGACAAAGACTGAAATGAGCCAATGGGACACGCTTCACAAGTTTCTAATCCAGTTTCTGAATAACTACCAGGAAGACATATTTCTGTAACAAGAATTTATTTAATTTTATTAAAATATTTAACAGAACATGCTCAGCAAACAGTTAGACAATTATAATACACCTTTTTCAGGTTGAAATGGATTGGAACATCTTGCGTTCCATAAGATTTTAATAAGATGTTTACATAAAACTATCTTGGCAACAAAAAAGGTGCATTATAATTGTTTTATTAAAATAACTGATATGTTAGAAATGAGACAAGGATGATAATTGGTAACTATTTGTCTTTAAATGATAGTTAATTAAAATAATATACAGTAGACCCCTATAACACGGGTTCATATAATGCGGATTTGTATATCGTGGCGAAAAAATTGTGACCGTATTCATATAAAGACACTAAAAGAGACTTGTAAAATGCGGTAAAACGTCATCGTCGACTCGTTGCGAAAGGATTGGTCGAATCTGGACCAATAGTGGACGAGCAGCCGAACTACTTACACACTACAGAGAGTTTAGGCAGGTAAGTTGAGTTTACTATTGTCTGCACAGTATATAAATTAGGTATTGTAGGTCTAATACAGTACTGTAATTTTATACATTTCTTGTGAAAAAAAAACATTTCTTATTCAATGGCCATAAAAATTATTTCTATTAATGATGTCTCCAAAGTTCAACGAATTTTTCGCAGAAAAATAACTTATCAAAAAACGTGTCCGCCGTTTGGTGTGCTGATCCGCGATGAAAACAAGTAATGGTGTTGTTGAATGGTGCACACTCAGTAAGTAATCTTACAATTTTTTGTTTATAGCATAGTTTATATGGATTATTCCCAAAAAATTATACGTGTTTTGGAAATGTTGAGTCAAATTAGTCTAGAATCGATTAATTTTATGGAAGAAAACCTTTCAAACAGCCATAGTCCATAAACTGCACACATGCTGGGCTGTAATTGGATCAGGTATTTAAGGATTCCTACAACGCAAAATTCTTATAAAGTGGAATATATCTACTGCGTTATAGGGGGGTCGACTGTATAGGCTATAGTGTTTATAGATGTACGATGGGTGTGTTGTTTTACATATATTTACTATTCTTATAACACTGATAAATTTGTATAAATATAACTCTTAGCAACAATCTGTTATTTTACTAATTTCTCAATTAATTTATAAAATTTTATGGCATTTAATACATCAGTTTTAAACAATTAACATGATTTATAGTTAATAATGAAACTAACGGTAATGATCATAAATTATAAATAACTTAGTCCTTGCAATTTTTCTACAATTAAAATACAATTATAAGATAAATTTTTAAATTTTATTTTGATTCACACACAAACACACAATAACTACTAAGAAATTCAATTAAATAATGATAAACAACAACACTGAATTTTTTAAGAAATAACTTTAGTGTTTATGAAAAACTATTAGAGTGAACTCAAATTAAGCAGATTTTTCTTAAATTCAATTGTTTAAATAATAATTTATGTTAAATAAAATTAAAAATAGTTATTTACCACATTCTTCATTTTTCAAAACAGCTCCGTTATAACATAGGAATTCCGATTCACTTATTTCTACCGATACCGGATCCAAAACAATGTTCGAATCACCCTGGTCATTTAGCGGTATCACAATTTTATCATTAGTAACATTCTGATTCATGTTATCTACAATTTCATTTACAGTATTTATCAGCTCCTTCATATTGTCTTGAGAATTATCCTAAATAATTTAATTTGAAAAAAATACATGTCTGAATATATCTAGTATAAATTTATGAAATAATAATAATAATAATAATAAAAGAAAATAAAAAATGAGCAAGTATTTGTAAAATTTTTAGATGGGAAATATGTGTCTTCCGTTGTTTCTAATAATATAAATTTTATAATATCAACCATAGTATTGCATTGTCGGTGAATAAATGTTTCATTTATATAAAAGTAACATTTATAAACAGCAAAGAAGTAATAGTATCCTGTTAGAATGCAGCTATAGTATTCCATAGCAGCTGTTTCCACAGCAAAATATCCTGTTTCAACTTTACAAAAACAGCTTTACCAGGCAATACACCCCAAGCTGAAACCTATTGGCAGTTGTTTCAATTGTTTTAACAATAATTTTGTAAAAAGTTGTTGTATTCAAATTTCACTCTTAAAGCATCTTAAATTCAGTTTCTCAACTTCAAAAACATTATTGTTAAATAATATACATAGAAACTGGATTAGAATAACCAAAAATAACAGTAACTACACCTTGTTTTTTTAATTAACATCAAATAAAAAAGACTTCTTAATCAGCTATTGTTTCTGTTATTACTATACATTGTAATATTTTTCATTAATAGATCATAATAATAAATATATGTAAAATTTATTAATGTTACTATCTAGTTCATTAATATGATGAAATTACTGTACTATAAAAATAATTAATTTCAAACAATTTATAAATAATGAATTATTTAACTTTACTGAATGTCAAATGTCAAGTAATGGCCTTCAATCTGTGAAAAACAGCTCAAAATTTAGATATAGTTAACAGATTTTATTATTTTTTATATTTTGAATGCTTGTAGATTTTTATAATTCCATGAACATTCAAAGTTAAATTACATTTATTGTGTTATAAATTATATTTTTACCTTTGTTTCAGAAGAAACTGTTATTTCTATATCTATTTCAATCACGTCATTTCTTGGCATTGTCCATATATCTCGTTTTGCTCTGAGAGGAATCGAATAATTCATTTTGCCACAGGTAACTTTAACGGAATCGACTCTGCAAGTTCTTTCTTTAATACAAAGTGCTGATTTATTGAATTCACTTTCAAAATGCTTCATATATGCTTCCTGTATAGATCTTTGAACTCTTAAATCATGGCAATTACCAGTAAAATAATGAGTTTTAATCATTGTTCTGAGGCGTGACGGAACATACCATTCTGAAAAGTGAAACTTTTGATGAGAATAAGAATAAAATACAGTATACATGAAAAAAAATAGTTATTACCTCCACAATCTGGCCAGGGAATTGAATAATTTTCCTGGGGATATGTTATCCATTCATTTGATGCATCACATATATACCAGTCAGCAGGTGGAGAAGAAAATTCAAACAAATCATTGCAATACACCTCGCATATTTGCCCACTAACCCAATAATGGCAAGCAATTGCACCATTAACGGGAGGAGGATAATAAGGACATTCATTCTCTATAAAAAAATATATGTTAGCATTTACATATTTAGATGTAATAGCATATTAAGAACGTATTGTCAATGATGGTCAATGAAAGAAGCCTAAGACTTTTCCATACATCTAGTAATTAAGGTTTTATTATACTCACCAAACCCTATATTTTAAGCCAAGGCTTGTCCAAAAAGCACATTTCTACTTCTGGGCCTCTCTTTGAAGATTAAATTTCCTTTAAGGTGTGACACACACAACTTATCTTTCATACGTAGTTTATTCCTTTCATCCATATAGGTTATCATTATACTGCTTTTACCTTTGGTATGTAAAGTTGACCATTGGCAAATATAAGGTGACTAACTTTTTTACAATGGATAGGAGGACACAAATAAATTGAAAGGAAAAATATCGTAAATAAAAGAAATATTTTTGCAACAATAATACACTATAATAATCTCTACTGCATGTGTATGTGCAGTGTCATGTTTCAGTAAGAAGTAAACAAAGCCACTTGTGTGTGGCATGCTCTTTAAAGGTCTCCCATGCGGAGTGCATGCGTCTCATAATCGCGTTTCACTGCACTGTACCAAGCCTTGATGAATTGTCATGTCAAATATAACTATGAGCACTATTTATGACCGTATTTACATCCCAATGGTGATCTATGCCTGCAGCAGCTGGGGCTGGACATCCAATAAAGTCCATATTAAAAGGAAGCTCATCTCATCACAACATCTAGCACTCACTCTCATCACCAAATGCTTCCGGACTGCGCCCAACCTCAGCATTCAAGTTATCACCAAAAAGCCCCCCATTTACCTTATAATCCAATTTAACAGAAAAATTCAAAATATTAAATGGGATGAAGAAATCAACACCAGCACTGGAGGGATTAACCTCAACAATTATGAGTGCCCTTATCTATTTTTGAATACTTCATTACTTGGTAATGAACTTCACTGCCTGGATGACAATGCCCCTCAAACGCCTGACATGGAGATCTTCACTGATATGGATCTAAAATTCAAAACTCAGTTGCCTGTGGCTTTGTTGTCTTTATTAATGGGGAAAAATACCACCTTAGCAACATATGCACCGTCTTCCAAGCCAAATTACTCACTATAAAGATGGGCCTCCTTTGGTCTACTAACAATTTTTCCCTCAGCCATGTCCATATCATTACCGATAGCTTATCTGCCAACCATGTTATTAAACTTCCACCCGATTGCTACCGAAATCAGGAATATCATCAACAACACCAGCAATACCATATCAATCACTTGGACTTGTGCTCACCATGGCACTCCTGGCAACAAGTATGCTGATCTCTTGGCTAAATCTGCATTTGGTGATGACTCAATTCCTATAATCTATGACAAAGCCACCAAACACATGTTATGCCAGTTCCTTTGGAATGATATCTGCAATGAAAAAAATAGCTGCATCTTGCAATTTTATTCCAAGCCTTAATGACTTTTTCAAACTTGACTAGTTCACCCCTTCATCACCAATCATCCTTCTCATCCTTCTCATCCTTCTACACCTGCCCACCAGGTGGAGGACAGCAGCACACACTACATCTTCGACTGCATTATCCTCAAAGCAGAACGTCTGGAGATAAAACTTCTCTTAAATGACCATGGGATTTCATGGCTTTGTTGTCCTTCAGATCTTCTCAGCAATGAAGAGATATACCTTGCCTTCTCTAGGATGGCTAAAAAATTTTGTGAACTGTCTCCCATGACAACCTACTACTAATAACCTTCCTCTCCTCGGACTTGCTAGGCAATAAATGTCCTGTACAATCATTGTATATATTAACTTTTATATCATTTCTACTATTTTGCATAGTGTATTATTATCAATTCATTTTGTGTTCTATGTATCTTTTGTATTTTACCTATTTCATGCTTAACTTCTTATTATAACCCAATTTATGTCCTTCAAGAACTTACAAAAGGAGGACAATTGGTCACCTTACAAATATTAATTTCTCTCTGTGTTTACTATAAATGGTTGTAAATAAGTTATTCTTGTAACATATGATTATAATTCTTGCATTAATATGGTGATTAAGTTAGCACTTAATCACCATATACTGTTGATTAAGTGTATACAAACACTTAATCACTGTTTTATTTAATGGCATTTGATAATTGATATTTCCTATTAAATTAGATCATTTGCATATTCATATCACTGCTAAGCTAAACTTAACTGAACATTTAATCACCTCACATTGCATTTGTGTTATATAATCATAATAAACTGTGACAGAAAACGTTTGACCAGTAAAATTTTTTACTTGTTTGCTGGAAATTGTATTTAGGTGTTATTTCTTTGAATCTTCCTGTGTTATGCAGTGAAGTATTTACCTTTCATATTTGACAGTCTGTTCTGGGATTCCACTTGATGTTTTGGAATGCACTGAAAGGTAATAGTGTATATTTTTTTTCATTTACTACAACTTTAAATGAAAATGTTTCCTTCTATTTTTATCAGAGACTTTTTCAAGAGTGCTGTTGTAATCTAAGAGAGTTGCAGAAGGCAAAACTCACACTATTGTTTAGTACATACCTGACATAGTATACATGAATAAAAGGTCTACAATAATTATCCTATTAGTTTTTAAATAATAATCCAGAGAGATACTTTTGTTACAATCCTATATAGGACTCTTTTTTTGAATTTATTGTAGTTTCCCACTTTCTACCCAAATTTTTTTTAATCTCAGCAGGATGTTTTTCTTTTCATGTTGAATATTTCTTGCATTATTTCTTTATGTGGCTCTTACAAAAGTAACAATTTTTCAGGAAATGCTTTTCTGGTTTATTGGGCATGCTCCCACTTAAAATGCTTTATCCACATCAGGTCCACTATTTGATGAAGTGTTTTTTCTTGAGCATTTCAAGTAATTTATTATTTACTAACTTCCGAGTTAAACCTTCAGCACAAGCACCATTATTAAAGTATTGTAGTTGTCCAGCAAACAAGCAAGCAATAATGCTATATTCAGTTTTTCAGTTAAAGTTTTTTCAATGCCTTAAATTGATTAACTAGTTCCAAATGTCTTTATAAACTTTATTTGATAATGCTGACTTAATATGCTGTTTCTTTATGGCTTCCCAAGTACTTTTGGCTGTAGTTCTTTGTCTTCCATCAGATGGTTTATCAGGAGTCTTTCAACCACGATGAGATGAGTCTGATCTAACAGTATTTCTTTCTTTATAATGTTTCATGATTTATCTTTTATCGACAGTAATTCCATCCTGTATTTCCGCACATGATAGTTACTGTTGTTCAGCTTGGTGATAGTAATGTAATTTTTTGCCATCATTTTTACAATGTTTAATCCACTGAATGTTCCATTTCCTTAAGTTAAAATCAATTTTCTCTTAAATTCATATTTTCTCTTTATGATTAATTAATTGCCATCATAACTGGGTCCATAAATATGTTAGACATGTTAAGTTTATTCAAAATTAAACTAGTTAAACTCATAGAACTGATTACATGAATAAAGAACAAAAAATTACATAACTTGTTTAAGTTAATGCTAAAAAACAGAAAAGTAAAATGGATATTCTCTAAGGAATTGTTACCAGTGCCATCAATATTTTAAAATATAATCAAATAACATATATTACAAAATCATTATGGCATATTATGATTATAATTAATTGTACAATAAGCATTATAGATTCAAATATGAATCCTCCAAAATGACACCTTTAACACTTATCTTTCTGATTATCAATTAAAATTATGATATAATTTTTTAAGCATTAACACTAAACTATTTATTTCATAAGAAAATGTTTTACTTTAATATTAGAAACTAACAAATACGTACTGCTAACGATAACATCAAATGAACATTTCACAAAATTTCCGCTTAAATCTTCTGCTATGTAAGTTACAGTATGTCTTCCAGGTGTAAACTTGTGGCCAGGAGCTTCAGTCTATAATAAAATATTAAAATATAAGATTAATTATAATACAGTTTTTAAATTCAAATAAATTCTTGAAACGAAAAATCCTTATACTTTCTTAATGTCAAGAGGTTGGTTTGAATTGTCCGAGAAAACTGGTTCTTGCCAACTAACCGAAACTTCAAAATCACTAGTATTTACTTCTATTTTTCTTGGACAATATATAACTTTAGGTGGTTCGACATCTAGAAATAATAAAAGACCGCAAAAATATTATTTTTCGGCATTTTGTTAACTCTTAATCCAATGCAAATCTTAACATCTATATAATAAAATGATAAATATATAAAAAAATATTGTAAACTTACAATTATACAGTAATACTTTTATCATTTAAACTACTTTAAACATTTTTTTTTTTTAATTTTAACAGGAATGAACCATACTATTGTTAAGCTATCCTAACCAAGATGTTGAGACCAGTAACCTTGTGAGATATATGAAAGAATTTTCATTAGCCCACTAAGGCAAACATCCGACAAACTAAACATGCAGTAGATGTTAGAAAATTTATTTATTTATGCGCAATATACAGGTTTAATCAAGGATGCAACCCTAAACCTGATTGTCAGCAGAGCAATTACAAAAGTAATAAATGTCCACATCATACCAAATCGTGATAACACTAATCTGTACTATCAACAAGAATTATTATTTCAAAGATAAAATTCTTATATCTAACCCTTAATACCGAACTTACACTAATTACGGAAAGATGAAGATAGGGGCGAGAAGTAGTAAAGATGACATAGAACAGAACAAAGGTACCCAGGTCTTGCAAATGTTCAGTCCTAATTGTCTTGAGGGGCCACATGGAACTTCTTGCACAAAATTAACACTTTTTTCATTTTTTTCCTTAGTTCCCGAGGGTTTTGATCACCAATCCGTCAGTCACTTATTCAAAACTCGCATCTGGTCAAGTTGATACCAAATCCAACACATTAACTTTGATGCATGAATTTCAGATTCCCTCTCTCAAAGTTACGACTTCACCCACATATACAGGTACTGGACAATTTCACACACCTGTCCTCACTTCGTCCTCTTTTTTCAAGCACCAGCTCAAAAGTGATCTTTCTTTACCTTGTATGACTTCAGGTAACCTCTCACTCATTATACTGGTTATTCAAAAAAGTGACCCTCAGAAGGATGAATTAAGGAGATTAGAAAGTTCTAGAAGGTAAAAAGAACAAAGAATACAGAAAAATGTAGGAACAAAAAGACAAAAATAGACATTTGGTATATAGCCACAATCTAATCATATGACATACAGGGTGTCAAAAAACACTGACAAATTACAGAAACTTGTATTTATTTTAGGAAAATAGGAAAAATCATACAGATGTATCTAATTAGTGAGCAAACTCAAAACGGTTTCTCCTTTTTAAATCTTGATGTGCACACCATGCATTATCCTCACAAAATTGAATATTCAATTTTCTCTCCAGATGTTTACATAACAACATGTATTGAGTGACAGTTCTGACTGATCTAATTATGTGATCTTCTAATTGTGGAATTATGCCTTGCATATATTTTCCTTATGTATGTTTCCTTATTATCTACTGACGTATTTTCGGTCTTGGACTAGCTTCACTGTTTAGGTTTCTTAGTGTAACTACAACCCCCTTTTTCCTGTCCAGTTGTGAAGGACTGGCTGGATGAGTTTTGAAGTAGTCTCGGGGAAGCAGAGATAAAAGGATGACACTTTTGGTTAGGTGCTTGAAGAGAGAGGATCTTTGGACAAGAGATGAGCCGGGTTGGACGTGAGCTCCCACTTAGGAACAAAATAATTCCTTGAGCTAGCAAAGAAGGTCATCATAGAAAAGCATGTGATATTACAGTCTTTGGAGGATGAAGACAAAGAATGAGAACTAGATAAGTGAAATCGGCAAGAAGATTCTACCTTTCTGCTGGATATTAGAGATCTAAATGTCTTTTCTGGTGTTAATACTTCTCTGACTAGAGGATATTTCTGCCTGTTGTCATCCAGAACTGTTCTCATGGTATTGTCTAAGTTGTCATATCTTGGTACTTGTTAATTTTGTATTAGCTGTAAGTTTGGTAGTAACATTTAATTTTAGTTTAGTATTAATACATAGGGTAAGCTAAATTATATTAATAAAACCGATGTTTGTTACATGCAGTTATTAATTTTAGTCCCAGATGAGTTCCCAGATGAGTGGTTGGGGTGCATTCAGCTGAAATCCCTGCTGGCTGATGTCCTAGGTCTTGTGAAGTATTTTTGTATGTGTTTTGTTGTTTTTAATAAACTTCTTGTACTTTGTTTACAAGGGTATATTAATTCTTTGTCCATGACCCATTATGAACTAACTTAACATAATAACAACTCACATAATGTTTTAATATCTGTGACAGATGTTTGATAAATCAGATCCTTTACATGAAATCCTACAACAAAATGTCCAAAGGGTTAGGTCAGAAGAGCAGGGTGGAAACTGATTTGATCCATTTTGCCCCATCCGTCTGTCAGGGAAAACTTCATTCAAAAAGTTCTACCTGCAGCAACAGTAGCACACTCTATTTTTGTCAATCATAAAAGTTTTGCTGACGATTACTGAAAATCATGTGTATTGATCTGTTTCCTTAATAGTTTTTGTAGTCCATTAGTTCTTTTTCAAACACCTTGTATAATCATCACTTGCAGTTCGTGTGAGGCCCTGGGCTGGGCTGAAAAACATCTTTTTAACCATATATCCAAGCAAAAATGAACCTAATTAATTAAAATTAAGGGAACTAAATTATAAAGGAAAAGGGGGAAAATAAAATTATTTTAATATTAAAACCACATGGTAAAAAAGAAGAAAAATTAGTAAACAAAATTTTTTATAAGACAAGATGAACAAAACAGGAAATGTTAGTTAAGGTACAAGGTTCGTTCAACACCTAACGAAAGACAGTGTCGAATTGTATTCATAAACAATCATCTCTCTTGGAAACCAATCTGGCTCAATTTTACCTGGTAACAGAGAAAGACCAATTGGGGACTAAGAAAGGGAATTAATAACCAATAAAGTAACGATTTGCAAGACCACAAGATATTTAATGTCCAGTCTACAAGGACACTCCATTTTTTGCCAGGGTGTCTCGTGAGGCTATGTCCCTTGCTGGAGTGTTTTCCGCAAAGTGGCATCTTTGTTAATTGCCAATGTATCCTCCGAAGGTTATAGATCCTTTGGCAAGAGAAACTTCCGAAATTCCAATCTGTATTCACCAAACATCGTTTCCTATTTGAGAACTGGCCTTAGAATGCAACATTCAGTTAGTGATAAGAAATCACCCTTGTCACCAAACTTTCCTCTTCTTCTTTTGAAGACTACATACCAAAAACTACAGGGACTTCAACCCTTTGTGGCAATAGTACTTTTATTGTAAGTTAATTGTCTAATAAATGAGTTTTGTTGTTTGTAAACAAGGCATCAATCTCTGACTCAACCTCTCCCACATGTCGTTGACTGTTACCGTTTGGCAGTCCAGACAGCAACAGAGACGATAAACATATATCTCTCACAATCTTTATTTTTTTCAAATTCTCCTCCAGATTCCTCATATTCGTAAAGCAAACTCTCTTAATTCCTGAGGAAGAAAGAGTACCAGGATAGATCTCACTAAAACAAAATGGATTGCATCTCTTCTACATGTCTGTCTATCATCTGAGTTTCTAATCCCAAATAACTAATTTCAAATCCAGTTCTACTTACAGAATATTCTCTCCAAGAAGAAATTATCTGAACCTAGCAATTCTGTATATGTTAATAACAAGTTTATTCAATTATTAATTTCTATAATTAGTGTAAAAATTGCTCAGTAAAGATGTTGTAGGCTTGAGTTTTAGTTGGTCATATAACATAATCTGGAATTTTTATATTTACATACTTTCTCTTTAAAAACTTATACAATGAAGGTGACTTACCGTTCACTTTAATTGTCGTTTCGCACGAACTTTTCAACAAAGCTTGATCTATAGCTGTAAATTTTATTTTATATTCTCCGACAAAAAATTTAAAGGAATCCTTTATAAAAGGAGTTACTTTTACTCTCGGTTCAATTCCGCTGTTATCGGATACTCTAGGTTTCGATAAACTAAGAATGCTATAATTTTTTCCGGGATCTGCAGGAATTGATATGTCTCGAGGACAACTAATTGAAGGAGGTTCAATATCTATAATTAATAACAATAAGAATATAAATTTATGAAATTTATAATACCAAAATGTTTAAATGTAATCTTTGTAAATTACTGTAATATTCAATAATACAAAATATAACAAAAGTCTGCTTTGTTGGAGCTCATTCTATCGGTTTTCCAAACACTTTTAGGCATCCAAACTAATTGTCAGGAGACATACAAATGAATCAGCTTGATAGCTACAAGCTTGTACATAAATTTGTTTATGTAATATCTGGATATTGTACAATCTAACACTGTTGACACACATCCCTAACTATTCTATCCACTATTAAGGAAAGTAGGGTGTAGCGTAGTTATGAATGAGTTGTCAATGCTCTTAGATTGTACAACTTACAGCTGCTACCTGAACAAATTTAGGTCATTTAGCTATCAAGTTGATTCACTTGTGTATCTCCTGATGATGGGCATGGTTGTCAGAAAGTACTTGGGAAACCAATATTTTAAAGTGAGCACCAACAAAGAAGATTTTTATTATACTGTTTAAAAAAGTTGACACACCTTGAAGAAAATGTTTTATTGCTACGAAACTTGGCACATGCTTGTGCAAGAGAGTGTATTTTCAAAGAATTATTTTGAATAATGTAAATTAAAATTAAAAATTTGCATGTTAATAAACTGTAAATATTGATTTATAACTGAATTAAAATATCAATCATTTTATCACTCACGGACACCTTTCATACTGGTTCCAGCAGGTATGTTTATTGGAAAAAACAAACTTTATTTTATCTGTTTCGGAGATCTTCGTCATAAATTTTTAAAAAAGGAACATTCCTTTTTAAAAAATTTGCTCGATTAATTGCATTTAATTTATGGAACACATTTAATAACCTGATGAAGGTCTCTGAAAGTGATAAAAAACATTTGCTTTTTCCAATAAATGTACCTGCTGCAACCAGTACAGAAGGTGTATGTGAGTGATTATATTATTTTCCAGTTTTTGTAGTGTTTTTCATAATCATTGCTTGTCCATATTTTTGACAAGCATTTGAATGCCATCAAAAATATGAATCAATGAATCAATAATAAATGTTTTTGGCTATACCTCTAACAGTCGCAGTTCAAATGAGTTTTGTTGTTAAGAAGCATTTAATTTCAACTCATTTTCAACATTTTAAATGTGTATTGCACGATCACATTTATACATCATAATGTGCTTTAACGGAAAGAAATACAGTATATCATTTTAATCATCTATTTATTTACCTTTGCACCAAGGCTGTTGAATTTCTCCATTAAATCCTTTCCATACTCCACTCTGTTTATTTCCATCGTCAACATCACAAAGCATATGATAAGGGCCTTTCATTTCGAATCCCTTAGGACATTGAAATGAGCAAAGCGTATTGTATTCATAATGTTTTCCAACAACACAATTTCTTATAATTATATGATTTTTAGGATGTAAAGCTGGACAAATTATTGCTAAAACAAATATAAATATGTATATATTCAGTCACTTAATTGATTATTTCAATACGCATAAACAAGTTAAAAATCAAAACAAAATAAAATCATAAATAATATACAGGAGCAGTAGTAAGAAACAAGAAGACACTTTGTTTAATATTACACCTTTTTGACAATTAAAAATATTATTTTACAGGCTTAAAAATCAAACTTAAGCTTTAAGTATTGTAATTATTACTTTAAATAAGCTTTAATTAATTAATTTAGCCGATTAAAAAATTATTTTCTTGAAAAAATAACATGTAGAACACCATTCGGAAATATGTATTGACTGTTAATAGCATTGTCGCCGATAACGTTAAACAGTGTATGAAAATTTAAAGGCATCTTATATTAACAACAAATAATTTAACTGTTAAATGGGAACAAAAACATTTACAGAAATGATCACAGCTGATACAGAAAAGATCCAATTGTTAATGTTTTATATTTTAAAAAATTTAAGGAAAAATAAATGCGTACAAGTAACAAATACAGTTATTATCTATAAGCATTGTAAATATTTCAATTAATATCACAAATCATTGTTTTTGTTTGATGTGTAAGTCATCAGTTTCCAGAGGAACTGAATTGTATCTTGATCTTTTTTCACATTGTATTGATAGTTGAAGCTCTGTTCTAATTAACATTATTTTATTTGTACAAAATTACCTGAAATTAATGGTTAATTTAAATGGAAATTTGATATGTCTTCATGTGATTAAGAACACTCATTGTGATTGTTAACACTGGACTGCAGAATCAGTGTTGGTGTTGAAAGTGTTGAAAGCAAATTCAATGTTAGAAGAGTCAGAGTTGATAAAAATGGACAGTTTCAATAGGAATACCTGACAATTGACTTTAATAATTCTTAAAAAGTTGCCCGATGATTCACATGGTAGTGATAAAATTCCACTCTGGATTAAAATAATCAAAGTATATTTTAATTTATTAGAGGCAGGAGTCAGAGTCAAGAGCTTGGTCTACTTATTTCAGTAGACAAAGTTACAACCCTGGTTAATACATTATCTCTTAATCCTTTACTGCAATTGTGTTGCTTCATCATCTACTTTCTTTGTGCACACACACAATGTTTCTAAAACATTGTTTATGTTTTCTTTCTTTGTGGTTGAATGCTATAAAATTAATGCTAATAATAATTTGTTATTAAATTTTAAAGTTAATAAGTTGATATTATTTTAATTTTATCATTACCATTACATTTGACACCTTCGGGAAACCATTCTTTAGTTGAAAGGCACGTCTTTATCTTTTCTCCCAATAATATGTAACCGGGATCACAAGAAAATTCACAAGTAGTTCCAACGAGAAAATCTGTAGAGCTACATATTTTATCTCCATATTTTGGTGCCATTGGTTCCGCACATTTAATTTCTGTTAATAATCGGAATAAACATTATTATATAAATATTATTTGGAATGTTTAATGAAATGTAAGTTTAAAAATGTCAAATTTATAGTAATTGAATTCTAATTTTAAAAATTAAATATACATTTTTAAATAATTTATTTTAATTTTTGTTGAATTATAATTACAATGTTGACAATTTATATATTATCTATCCATCATTTATTTCTATCAATACACTGATATATTGATAAAATGATACTTAAAGGTCAGGCATCTGAAGGACAGACTATTTACAACAGAATATTATATATATATTTGATTAAATTTTTTTCATTTATAAATTTTCAATTAATTTTTATTAATTAAAAAAGCTTAGTTTTTATACGTATCATTAGTATCGAGGCATATATGGTACTTGAACAATGATATGAATTATCTATTAAGTTGACTAAGTTTATTAAGAAACTCTTCATCATCTGCTCTTTTATAAACCTGTGGCTTGTAATGCCAGTCACTTGTTAAACATTTATAAAAGAGTTAAAAAGCTTGATTAAAAATATTTCTAACAATAAATTTTAATTTATATCATCATTCAGGTAGTTTTTATTTAATAAAGTATAGATAATGATAGTTTGATATTTGATTTTTATTTTCCCGGCTGTTATATATAACAGAGGCAAAGTATGGAAATTGGTCAAAAAATCATCCCACAGAATTGTTATATTTCTTTTGTATGCATGGATGTTAGTGTGTGTGTGTGTGTGGGGAGGCACGATTTTGTTCACCCTCTTTGAAGCTTAATAACTCCCGTGCTTTCTGTCAAAAATTTCTGAAATTTTACAGTGAGGTTTGTTTATTAGGGGAATCGATGCCATTAAATTTTGGTGGTTAAAGGTTGAGGGATGGGGAGATGAAGAGGGTCGTGTATCACATCTCGAGTAGAGTTGGACTTGATGATTTTACTTGTTATTAGCATTATAATTTTTTTATAAAACTCATCCCTACCCTTAAAATTAAGTTTTTTGCCATTTTATAATTGTTGAAAATATGAAAAGTTTTTTAATAAAATAAATGGCACCACCAAATGTTCCCAGGAAAGTTAAGCAACTCGTTGCTGGATTTTTTTTCTTATGGACATACAGATCTTCATATGCAAAATCTTTTCAGTCATATACATTAATAATATAATTTGCTATTATTAAATCATACTATATTAATGAAAATTTAAAATGATTTTAATCTTACTTTGACATACTGCTTCTGAACCAGACCATTCTTTTGAATCTTGACACACTCTTTTTTCGCTATCTTTACGTTGCAATTCATAATTTTTATTGCAAATAAACTTGCATGTACTTTTATAAACATTATCACATTTACTAATGCGTCCATTCTGTGGTGCTTGCAAAGGTGGGCAACGTTTAACTGAAAAGAATAAAGAAAACATATCTATTTGATTGCACATTCAAACAACTTTCAAAAATGAACTTAATAATGTTAAAGTTTTACATGAAAGATATCTAGAATAAATCATTTAAATCATTTAACTTATAGTAGACAGATCATCTTGTCTGCACAATTTGTCACATAATTTATGATTGTTACTTTTGGAGGACACCAACTTGGCAGTTGGTGCTGTGTAGAGACAAACAGACATCATACAAGCAATTTTTTTTGTGTCAGTTGGCAATTTAACAATGATTTTTCTATAATAATATAAATTTATTGAATGTGTGTTCAAATTTTTTCTTAAATAAACTTTTTATCTTTCTTATCTTTTATTTTTGCTTATTTCAGTTGTAAAAATAAAGCAGTTTTTTTTTAACTCTAATACTTATTTCATGCATTTAAACTTTATTTTTTTTGTGAAATTTTCCTTTTTTTAAAGCCCACTAAAGTGATTAGCTGTACTTTATTCATTGTTTATGCTTCTTTCTTAGCATATTCTCAATTCATACACACAATGTTGACTCAAATTTTAAAAAAATGAAAAAAAGTATATATTTTTATTTCTGTCAAGCTACAGAATATTAATATTACCTACAGCAGAATTGCAATTTATTTGCTTTTATAAAGAAACTTACGTTCACAAGAAATTCCCTTTGATGGATTTCTCTCGTATCCTTTTTTACAAATGCAGTCTTCTATTGAAGTACTAGCTACATTTACTGTTGTGGAATTATCTGGACATTTTGTACAGTGGTCCGTAGGTTCCAATTTATCCTTGTATGTTCCTTTAGGACATGCTGAAAAAATTATATCAATTAGTAATTTTACAACAGCTAAAAAATATCAAAAATACTGTATTACATAATTTCTTAATATTCACAATCTCAAACACCAGGAAAGGAAATTTCAATTGAGTTTTACATGCGATAAGCTTGTTTAATTAAATTAAGAAATGTGATGATTCTTTAAATATATCAAATAAATTTTCATATAATCATCCATAAATATGTTAGAGAGAACCTTCTGTTAATCCAATTAGCTCAAACCATTAGAAAATAATATGAATTATTTAAATATTTAAAGAATTCATTTCAATAAATCATAATTTATAGAAGTGAATTCTCAAGGAGTTACCGATTGAAGCCAAACTGCTTGGAAGAACTGGAAAGAAATGACGAGTTCTATATTATGAGAGAATACAAAACTCAGTGATACCAGCAATCATATATAGCAGCGATTCCCAACTGGGGGTATGCGCTTGATGGTATATATAGTGGCAACTCCCAACTGATGGTATGCGCTTGGTGGTATATATAGCAGCAATTCCCAACTGGAGGTATGCGCTTGGTGGTATATATAGCAGCGATTCCCAACTGGTGGTATGTGCTTGGTGGTATATATAGTGGCAACTCCCAACTGATGGTATGCGCTTGGTGGTATATATAGTGGCAACTCCCAACTATGGATGTACAAAAATAAGAATTAACAATGGCAGATGTACTTAAGAATATTCGGATTCTTCATTGAGGTCTTTGGTAACGTCACAGCACTCTATCTTAGTTTTAAGTATCTGTGTTCTTCCTCTAATGCTTTATGATTTAAAAAAAAAAAATTTTACATGTAATTGTAGTGCTGTATAATTGATCAAGGAGCCATTGTATGAGAAATATGCAAAATAAAACGTAGGAAAGTAAGCTGCCAACAGGTATACAAGTCAAAAAAATCCAGTAAAGAGTTGCTTAACTTTCCTGGCAACATTTGGTAGCACCATCTGTTATGATATTTTATTATTAAAAACTTTTTTATATTTTTAACTATTATAAAATGGCAAAAATTTCCGTCCTGTAGGCACTAACAGAGCCTTTCTTCTAGGTCTATCGTGGAACCGGTGAGGAGGGACAGACTGATCATGAAAAATTCCTGGGGAATTGGTCACCCTGATCGAATGACAGCACATAGACCTATATAATTTTTTGTAAAATAATTTAAAAAGGTATTAATGCACTGCAGCGATAATTTATACCCGACAATTCGCTTTAAGTCAAATTATTCAAATTGAAAAGTTATATTTAAACACGTGATATCGTTTTTAGCCCTTGATGATAAATGATTCTGATTAGCTGCAATCAGCTTAATTGTTTGGAATCAACGCTTTATGTTCGCTGCCAAATTTGTTATCAGATGACAATTAAATGAAACAATAATATCAACAGATCGCATACCCATCCGAATTATCATTACGATTAATTATCTTTTAATTGCTATTTTTCACATCCTATTTAACCTCAATGTTTTTACTCTTCACAAAGAAACAATAAAGGATGAATATTCTATAATTCCTTTATGTTTATTTTAATAAGTAATAAACGATATTACAATTTATTTGGCACACTTATTCCCAATTTTATAGACCTAAATTGGGGCCAGTTTCTCGCACAAAGTCCTCTCGGGAGGCACCCCTCTTTGGGGAGAAAGGCCTACTAACTACTAGGCCTATAGGTATATATTAACTACTTTGCTATAGGAAAAAAAGGGGGAAATTACCTAGGGCCTTACCAACAAGGGGCCCCAAAGCAATTCTTCGTAAGAAAATACTCCCCCCTTCAAAAAATTGTATGAAGTCAATACTGTACAGTATAGTACCGTATTAAATTATATAATATAATAAATTATATTAATATAAATTAGAATAATATTTCATTTTTCAATTGAAAATTAGTGTAGACGGTTGCATACAACGAATTTGATAGTACTGTAGTAACTTAGCCTACGTGTTTACAATTGAGAAGAATTTAAATTTAAACCATACGCATTCTTTTTTATTGCTCATTCTGTTTCGAAATAGCTCTAGCAAAGCAAAAAACAAGAAGGAAAAAAGAAGAAAGGTGTAGGACTGAATTTATTTCTGAGAGAGACGGATTTATCTTAGGAAATCATATGATAGAATCACATCCCCTACTCCCACATCTTATGGGATGCTTCTCTTACTCCCACATCCCGTGTAGTTAAACATAAAAGGAGCTTATGGATAATAAAATATATTAATTTTTAAATTATAAAAAAGGGGCATGCTTGGGAACTATAAAATGACAAATTTGTATGAATTATCGGTCCCCTCGAGGCCCGAGAGCTCAGCATCAGTAGGTTTATCGAGAGCTTGTATGGAGCCAGGGATAAGAGAAGGTCCCTTTTGCCACATATTTGTTTAATACTAAAAAGTAGCCTTAATTATTTTTGTATTAGTAAAAATAACAATAATTTATAGGGGTAGGAACCAAGTTTTCTCCGCACAGGAGAGAATTTTCTTGCTTCTCTAAAAGAATCCTGTAAAGATACCACGCTATAGAGGAACGAGGTCTTATTTAGACGTATATTATGGGGTGCCTCCTTTATCATAACTGTCTTAAATATGGTCTTACTACCTCTGTAGGGTTGTATCTTTAATTATCTTAAAAGCTTATTAAAATTATTTATAGAGTTTTAATTTAAAAAAAAAAGTTTAGGTGCTAGATAAAAATAATTATAAATTTCGCAAGTTAGTCAAGTAATGAGTTCCATATGACCTACGTTTCCAAACATCGACCTTCGTGTAGTTATATCCTGTTCTGTCATCGCTTAGTCCGGTATGTCACTTGACTGTAGTTAATTCACCTCTCTTGACCCCCTAATTGCAGTAAAACTGGCGGCTAGAAGCGTATAACTAATGCAGTATATCAGTATTAAATAAATCCGCGTATCACTTTTCGTTAGGATAATATGGGAAATATGCGTGACATCTGCAGTAACGTGGTTGAAATATTTGCCATATTAATGCTATACTACAAGATGTCTGAGTGAATTATGTCACTCTTATGTATTTTATAATCAATTTAACAACTTTGTAACTATGTAGGCTACTATATAAGTTTATTTTTGATGTTCAATAAACCCTCGTTTTACGACTTACATTAATTTCCTATGCCATATTAAAGAACTAATATTTCGATGTGATGTACTATAGGGTGTCCCATAAGTCTGGAACCTTAGAAATTACGTTAATCTATGTTTATTCTTTAACAGGCTACATCCAGATCTCTTGATATAGCCTCTATTCCTCCTTACTCGGCGCCATGCTTTATCTGTAAAAGAATAAACATAGATTAACATAACTCCTATGGTTCCAGACTTATGGTACACCCTGTATATTTCATAGTTTCTTCTCAAGGATGGAAACTCAATTTATAATACTGAGCCTATGATAAAGTACGGGGTGATTCACTCGAGACTGAACACTTATTATATGGAATATCTCTGTTTAAAATGAAAACATGAACATGAAACACTGTGAAATCAAGATGTATTGAACAGTGTTCAGTCACGAGTGACTCACCCCGTAGAATTCGATATACAACGTCTCTCTTAACAAGTACAATTAGGTCGTAAATACGGGAATATAATGTAAAAAAAAAAAGTTAATTATACCTTTACAATCTCCCAAAAGTCCACTTAATCCGTAAAATCCTGGGCCACAAATACATTCGTAAAGCCCCAATTTTAAAGCACAAGAACATTTAGCTGAGTAATCACAACAACCAGGATCTTCAGGCTGACCTCTGTATAAACTATTACAGAAATGATCGCAATTTCTTGGCCCTTCTTCCAAAGACCATTTGGTTTCGTGAGGATCTGAAAATTATAAGTTTAAATATTAATATAATTAATTACTAGTGTGAAAAATTACATATAAAAAACGATAGCATAACTGGTATTATAGATATTGTATTATAATTTATCAAAATAAGGGATCCCAATCTCCTTATCTATAGAAATAAATGCTCCTCGTGCTCCTCCCTGGTTACTGCACGAAACACACGATTACAATCTGTGACTTCAAAGTGCTAAATTGTATTTTTATACAAGTCGACCCCCCTATAACACTGTTGATTATTCCGTTTTATATGAATTCCATGTTGTACGAGTCACTTAGATTTTACAAATACATGAGCCGTTCACAGCCCGGCACACGTATTTGTAAAATCTAAGTGACTCGTACAACATGGAATTCATATAAAACGGAATAATCAACAGTGTTATAGGGGGGTCGACTGGTAATTGTAATTTTTAGTTTAAAAATTATATTGTAAATCTTTATTTTTCTTTCTTAAAATATGAAAAAAAATAAAAAATAAGTTTCTTTCTTACAATGGAAAGGTTACAAAATTAGAACGTTGATTTTTACAATGTACAATGTGTGTAGTAGGTCTCTGTGTTTTCCTTAAATTCAATTGTGACCTTTGGCTTTTGGTTTAAGAGTAACGAGGTCAATCCCGGGAGATGATGAATAATAACGTTTGTTTTTAACGAAAGAGTCTGATATCCGAACTTCTCGAAATTCAATGGATGTTTCTCATCTACATCCTGTGAGTTGTTAAATGTGATACATGACAGATGTCCTGGACGATATGACACGTTTATCTTTTCATAGTATTACAAGGATTTCCTTCCAATTTTCTAAACGATACTCGGATATTTCGGAAAATCTTTTCATCTTTTAAGTTCCCTCCAATATAATTAATTTAAAGGAGGCCTAATTAAATTAATATAACGTTAAAACATTAATTAAAATCGAATATTTATATAGCCTATAAAAGTGTAGACACGTATTACAAATCGTAACTAATTTATTAATTTGAATGTAATTATTCGGGTGAGAGGGGTACCGCCAAAACGATTGGCCTTTCCAGGCCTCATCGGGAGCTGGGTATTTTCCCTGGGCTTATCTTTAAGACTAATTTTTACTTTAGTTTGTTCATAAGGCAAAAGGAAAAAAAAAATGGCAAAAAAGAGCTCGTTTTACCCTCAAACTTTTGACAACAGAACCTTTCGTGCCTCACGCAATTTACAATTGTTAACAAAGCGACACTGACGTGGAGGACTTTCTAAGGTAAACTGGGCCCTATTTAGGCGTTACAAACGTGAAGAATACCCAGAAAACTCTACGCCTAACTGGTGTTAGTGGTTTTATCCACTCGTGTACACTTAATTTTAATTGAGAATCGTTTAAATTACTAAATTATAATGTAAAAAACAATAGAAGTACATACAGTCGACCCCCTATAACACTGTTGATTATTCCGTTTTATATGAATTCCATGTTGTACGAGTCACTTAGGTTTTACAGATACGTGTGCCGGACTGAACGGTTCACGTATTTGTAAAATCTAAGTGACTCGTACAACACGGAATTCATATAAAACGTAATAATCAATAGTGTTATAGAGGGGTCGACTGGTATAAAATTACCTCCTCGTATTACTTCTGCTAAGAGTCGGAAATTTTGAAAGTCGTAACAATGGAAAAAATGCTGTTCACTGGTGCAGAGGGATTTCAATTCATTACCAAGAAATCTACCAATACCAACAGCAAATACCTCTGTACCACTTTCTATAAGTTTTTTTGCTGATTTTAAAGGATCGTTACCATAAGTAGAAAATCCATCCGAAAGAAGGATCGTTACCTGCGATAATTTAAAATAGTTTAATTAATTAATTAAATTTTTCGGTTTAGGAAGGGGGATGGATGAAAACTCACTTTTCTTACTCCAGGACGTGCATTCTTCAGAACTTCATAAGCTTCATCCAATGCTCCAGCAATATTCGTAGCAGCGCTGTCTTCGTATTTAATTTTTTGAAGTTCTTCCGCGAATAAACATCGATTTTTAGGCTCTTTTATGTAATCTATATACCTTACTGAAAATTAAAATAATATATTAATATATATTTTTCATTAATTGCGTGGTAATTAATCGTAAACTTTGTTTAAATCTGTAGACATACATTAGATGGAGTACGGCAACATACGAGAGATCTACCAAGAGGGGTACCTCCTGGGAAAACTTTCTATGAGAGATTGGTCCCTATTTATATGTTAGACACGCGAAGAATCCCAAAAAATTCCTCGTAGCCGGTTATAGGTTAGATGCAAACCCGCCTCTTCAATGGTTTTAACTCGGCTATTGGGCACTCTGGCTTTGTAACCGCTTACTTTTATAAGTTTTATAACGTATTATAACTGTATTTCTGTATAACGTTTTAAATTTACAATTAGAATTCTATTTACACGAACTGGGATGAATTTAGACGTGTAATCCTATGCTATAATATATAGGCTCTTCTTCTCCACTAAATACAGTAGACCCCTATAACACTGTTGATAGTTCCGTGTTATATGAATTCCGTGTTGTACGAGTCACTTAGATTTTACAAATACGTGTGCCGTTCACAGCCCGGCACACGTATTTGTAAATTATAAGTGACTCGTACAACACGGAATTATCAACAGTGTTATAGGGGGGTCTACTTGTAATGATACATGTAAAAATGTGAGGCCTTGTTCTAGGCTTTCACATGTTTACATGTTATGCGAGTCTATAGCTTAGGGCCTCTCATTTTTACGTTACTATCACAGCTTTAGGCCTCGTTACGCCAGACCCTAAGCTGCAGCTTATTTAGCTTTATATGCAAATCCTATCCATGAACGTATTCTCAATTTATAGAACGGTTATTCAGGAACCAAAGTCGTAAACACAGTAAATTAAGCTTAATATTCGATTAGCTGGATGTGAGAGAAGTGATATAAGATCCGGATCAGACTTTATCTACCTCCGAAAGGCCTGAAAAAACTCTGTTTCTAGAGGATCGAGTTAAATGCCCTTCAGGCATCGGCTTTTATTTGAAGAATCAGATTTGCACATCAGTTAAACAGTTGAAGAAGAGAACGAGTAGATGAGATGGCATAGAACATAACGAAAAAAACCCTATATTGTTCCATTTTATCTACATTACACATATGAAAAACACTGAAGAATTTAGAGATGTAGTAGCGTTAAAGCCAATAATATTTAAGTTTCCTATTTTAAGTAAGATAATTGATACGACCTTTACAATTATTAAAACATCTTTTCTCTATTACTGAAAGTGAAAGTAAAACAGAGAGAAAAAGCATTTCTCTCTCTGTTTTATTTTAATAACCAAAAACACTAAGGAAATTAAAATATTTCGAGGCCATTGAAACTTAATACGTAATCACATCAAATGTTTCGGATTGTAAAATTACTTAAAATCACATTATCTACAGACAAACTCTTGATTTTTCTATATTTTACACATAAAATACGAAAGAAACAGAAAAACAGTCGAACCTTTGAACAACGGACACTGACGAGAACATAAATAAAAAAAAAGGGGGCCTTGGTTCCGATGCTGCAGTTGTTTGAAGGTTATTTTGTGTGTATTTAAAAAAAAAAAAAATCCTTAAAAATGGCCTCTGTTTAGAGGTGGCCGTTATCGGAGGTTCCACTGTATCTTATAAGTATTTATAAATGTATAGAACTATTTAGGAGGGTCTTCAGTAATGGGACCAGTGCAGTCTTTCGTCTTCATATATAGCTTTTTTTTTTTTTTTAGTGCTTTTCTCTCTGTTGGCACTAAAAGAGTCTTTTTAATCGAGCCAGGGCCTCTCAGAAGTTGGTTTTTAGGNGAGCAATTAAATAATTAAAATTATAAAGGATTAAAAAATATATATATATAAATGGGGAAATATTGCACTTCTGACAATCGCTGCAAGTGTGTGGGCTAAATTTAGAGAATCCGTGCTTCTCGCATGGACAACTGTATGTGGCCCGCTCACGTGTCGGAAAATCTTCTGATTTATTCGTGTATGCACCAGACAGAAAAACAAAAAATATCGTGTATTCACAAGCACTTCAATAAATAAATAGAATTGAAACGACACTTTGAAATGTTATCCCAATGAAAATAAATAATAATAATAAGTTTCAATAAAAATGATAAAATGTAAATTGAATTTTATCATAACGAGTTTGCTTGAATTTCCTTTCTTCTGAGATCGCAGCAATGCGCGACGNTCTTTAATTACAAACTTTTTTAACAAGAAATCAAAAAATGTACCTTGACATAAATGGCATTTGAAATTTGGCATGTTATAATGAGACACATTCTGGTAGTTATGTTACTATTCCTTTTCCTTTGCTGTGTAACAGTGGGAACTTCCTATGGGGCATATGAAAATTTAATGCAGGCCCGTTTTGGCTTAATGAATGCAGTCTTACTGGTCACTTTTCTGGAGTATAAACTCAGCCTAACTATTTTCATATTTAATCTTTTCATAATTTAATAATCAATCTAATACCATATGCAATATTATTGATACAAAATATGTTGTGTTTGTGTTTTTTAATAATGCCTCTTTAGTTCACTTTAACACTTATAGCTTTTTTTTTTTTTTTTAGTGCTTTTTCTCTCTGTTGGCACTAAAAGAGTCTTTTTAATCGAGCCAGGGCCTCTCAGAAGTTGGTTTTTAGGCCTCAGATCTTCCCGAAAGGTATAAATTTATATAAATAAAAATTAATAAATCGAAACAAATATCATTAATCAATACAAATTTTTATTTGTATCACTTATTATTATTATTTTTTTTAATATAAAAGACTAAATTTAAGATCCTTCCGTATGCCAAGTGGTCTTTCTAGTATACCCCTTTGCAAGGATTCGAATAGATTTAAATTACAATAAATTAAGTTTTTATTTAATAAATGATTGATTTTTAAAGCGTTAACATTTAAAATGATTTAAAATCACTCACCAATATTCTGACTGTAAGCAATTACAGCAACTCTTGTAGCATTTGGAGCAATTACAAAATGTTGTAATAAACTTTCAACAAATCCTTTCTCGGCTTCAAAATTAGCAAGTCCTATACTTCCAGAACGATCCAAAAGGAAGATTAATTCCGATTTACCTCTTTCAAATTGATTATTTTTAAGTAGACGAATACTTTTAAGCCATTCCTCATAATTCGGTTTCTCATAATTTATGGAATAAACCAAAGTTAAACTCAAAGAGAAACAGAATAGGATAATTAATAAGTAATTAAACATGGCGAATTAAGTTAATTTTAGAAAAAAAAAATCCTTGAAATAATAATAAATATAAGCAATATTGAATATTTTATATAATCAGCCTTTATATCTTGACTGGCGTAAGATCTTGACTGGCGTAATCCTCTTTGCAAAGACGATGTTTTGAATAAGAAAGTCCAAAGATTAAACTTCTACGAAATAATTTAATAAGAAAAATAAAGGTCAAATAATAAATTAAATTCGATAAGGTCGAAATATTTAATAAACAATCCAGTGAAAATCCCAATTAGGTAAACAGGAGTAATATAACCAATAGATTTTAAAGTGAAACTAAATTCAATCTAATCATTTCCTTGTTAAAATATAAACTTATAAATTTATTAATTTAAAAAATATATTTTTTTAATACTCCTTTTAAGTAAATAGCTATTTGAAATAGGAGTTAAAAGATCCAATCAGAGCTTTGTAAAGTTAATAAACTTTTCTCGTGGGACTGCGTCATCTCATCAGCTCCTCTGTTAGACACGCTCCAAAGTTAAATCCAGTCTAGCACAATAAGCAAGTAAAGTTCACAAGGAAGGACACAGGGGAATATGTTTTACTTAGGAAGTTTATTTCTCTTAAATATCATTGGTTTAGGTAAGACATTTTTGAATTTATTTAAAAAAATATATATATTTTTACACAATATATAGTATTATAAGATGTGTTATGAGCCTTATAAGGATATAATTAATGATTTATATGCAAATATTGGCCTGCCTCTTTTTAAGTAGAGAAATACATGTGTAGGAAATGAAATAAAATAATTAAATTCTATTTTTAAGTGTAATTTTTAATTGTTTAAATTAATTTATTAACGTTTTATTTCTTTAATTATGAATTATATGCGAAAAATTGTGTTTAAAACGAATCAAGGTAGGGATAATGTTATTGTGCCCAACATGCCAAGTGATTGGCATCATGCCACAATGCCACTTGAATGTTTCCTATCTCAAATTTCACCATTTTAATTAGTAATTTAGAATATTTACTAATTGCAATTAAGTTTAATTTGTGTATATACTTATTTACATTTATACTTATTAAATACATAATAAATTGTTGATATTTTAAGTATATTAATTAATTCATAAAATAGATATAATATCACTTAAGTTATTTATGAATTTATTAATTTAATTAGTAATAAAGATAAATATTAATTTAATTAATAAACTATATATTTTTTTTTTAAATACTGGACACTTGTATAGGGGCTAATTATAATCTGCTGTTAATTATCTTTTATTTATTAATAACTAATTATAATTTTTATTAATTTTTTTAAATTTTTTTAAAATAAATGTAAAATATAAAACATAAATGAAACCATTTTATTCCTTTAAAAAAAAAAAAAAAAAAGGAAAAGAAATTAAATCAGATATTTTGGAGAGGCATCACGCGTGGTAATTCTATCCCTATGTTGATTTGGAGGGCAATTCTTTATAGTTTATATCATTTAACGTAAACGAAAAGCATTAAATATTCATTATAATAATATAATTTGGGATGAATTAGTTTTCTATACACAAAATTTTCTAATAGAGTAATAAATTATAATATAACAACGTCCTGTAAATGTCACTTACTTACCCTTTAGCGAACTTGAAAACCTATGACAGAAACAAGAGGCACAAATAAACTAAATAAAACCTTTTTTTATGATTTTACAAAGAAAACACAATCCTTAGTTCTTAAATTCAGCTTTATTAATACAGTTAACGTGTTATTATCACAGCTGGAGGACCTTCAACAACATACAAGAGGACCTTTCTCTTAACCAATATGTATAAACTGCAAGTGATTCGAGGCTTTCTCTCTATATTTAAAAAAAAAAACAATGAAATTATTATTATTATTATTATAGAATTAATTAATTAATTAATTATTTTTATTTTTAAATTAGTCGAAATGCAAGAATGGACTAAACTCAACTGTCCAGCACCTCGAGCACCTAGAAATGGGATCAGTTTTATTTTTGATGATGGTCAAAGGGTACAATATCGTTGTCATCCCGGATTTATAATGAAAGGAAAAGTTTCCTCGGTTTGTATAAATAATAAATGGAATAATCCTCCTCCCTTATGTCTTCTACCAAACAGTAAGTTCCTATTTTAATCCATAACGTTTTTTTTTATTTTGTTGATTTTAAAAACACGCTGAACGGTCTTAAAAATAAAACGGAATTAAAACATTATCTTAAAAATAAAACTAAACAATAAAAATAAATGAAAAACTTATGTGAATTTATTGGCTTTTTTTCATGTTTACAATGTTTTATATTTGCTAAAATTAAAACAAAACTAGACATTTTTCTGTAAGAATGTAGTTTATTTCTATATTTATCTTACGACCTTACGTGCCACACACTCGCTTGTCAGACAAATGAATGCTATTAAAATGCTATTAAAATTTTTTTTAAAATAGCTTTTTATTTAATAATAATTAAAGACGATTTCAGAAAACATTTATTATTAAATGAGGCAACAAATAATAATAATAATATCTATTTATTTTAAGACATAGACAATGTGAAACGTTGCAAAAATTCTTCTAACTCTCACGCGAATTTTCGGAATTGTTGGGGGTCGATTTCTTTACAGATGTTACTCATTCAACGTAACTTAGGATAAGTATGACCTTCGAGATGGGGAGAACCGAGAGAAATGGGCTCTTAGTGGTTCTATCCCTATAGATTAATGTTATTTTTACTAAGAAAATAAAATTTTTAAGGCTACTTTCTGTTATTTTAGAAGCATTCTACATTTAATTAAAAATAAGTGGCCTGGGAGGCCCACTAAAGGTCAAAACGGGCCCTTTGCAAGCTCTCGAATTCCTCGACGATAAGATCTTGTTTAAATTTGTCTTTAACATAAAATATACACTCGATTTTTTATTAACTATATGCCAATAATTTCACAAAAGTTAAATATATTTAAAGTTTCTAATATTAAAAAAAAACCTCTAATATAAATCTAAAACATTTCCATCCACGTTAAGCGTACCAAGATCACTTGTCTTCATCAGATAAAGTTGCTGTACCAACAATTCGCAATAGATTTAATTGGGAATCCAATGATATGGAACCAAGTCACATTTCGCTACGATATGGAAATGGTTCTAGTAGATTACCACTGATAAATGGGCTGTGGAAAAATCCATCTACGAATATAGATAGCCGGGTTCTATCTATAGTACCAGATTCGAGCTTAGGAAATTCAGTTCCACCTAAACAACTAATCAAACAAGAAGTAGATATAGCTGAACTCCGTAAAAAGTTAGAACAAGAAGTAAAATCTTCGAGACACATAAACGATAAAGGCAATTCCATTACGAAATTAGATCCTCAATATCCACCATTTTACGTTAATCCGGATGGTTTCGTATTGGGAGTTTCAAATTCGAATCGATATCCCGTCTATAGTTTAGGTACAATATACGATTCGAATAGAAATAATTATCCCGTATCCGGTTATCTGGAACCAGAGATGGTAGAATTAAGGAGAAAACAAATAGAAGAAGCTAAAAATATTCAGATGATTGCTGCGAGTAAAAGGCATAGAAATAAATTTAACAATATTGTAACGTACAGTTCCAGAGACATACCCGTTTGGCAAGGAAGAATTAAGCCACAGAATAGATACCATACGGAAAAAACCGTATATAAAGCAACCAGAGTCGAAAGAAACAAGCATTTCGAACAAGATAAACCACCGAGTGCGCCATTTAATACGAGAACAGTTATAAAACCAAACCCACCAGCCATAGAAATTAACAAAGAGAACTTCTCAACGGATATACCCAAATTTTTGAGTGTTAATAGGCCTACTGTTCCATTACTGACGGAAGATATAGTGATAGCAACTATGCCAACACCCATAAGTGAATTTTTAAATTTAGGTAATTCAGAAAACAATAAATCTACAAATCCTACTGCATTTCCTCGAACTTCCACAAGTGATTCGAAGAACGAATTGCATGTTGCTAATAAATATAATCGCGATCCTCTTGAATGGCCTCCTGAAGCTTTATGGTTTAAACATGAAACAACAGCGATACCTCGATTATTTGTAACACAGAGAATTCACGAAAAACAGAAGAAAAAATCGTCGAATAAGAAATCAAATAGAGGAAACAAACGAGGGAAGAATACACGAAAGTCTCAAAAGGCTCCAATTGTTACATTCAGCCATGGCAGAGTCAAGAGCACAAATTTGAAGAAAACTCAAAAATAAACAAGAAAATTCAACGTATGAATTATTTAAATTATATAAAATTCATATTTTAATTCCAAAAAAAATAATTCACAANGATCGTATTAATTTAGTTTTGTGAAGAAACGTACATAAAAATAGTATAAGATATTCTTTACTTTTTAAATATTAAAACAATCTTAAATTAAATTAAATATTAAAACAACTTAGTTAAAAGTGCTCCCTATCAGTGACTCGTGGATGGAATCAGAGACGATCTTAGTAGGTGCGCGGTGCATGCGTGCCTGCCAAATCCTGAGGGTGCCGATACCGGTTAACGTCAAATGAATATGCCTCTTTTGTCGTATCACTAGTATATCGACAGGGTTGTTGTAAATTTTAAATGTTTCTCATCATAGCTGTAAAAATCTAAATACGTTAAACTTAATAGATTGTCCGTCTTTTGTTTTCTAATTAATTTGTTTTAGGACCAGGTGTCATCCACGGAAATTTCCAATTTTTCGGTCACTCTCGTTGAACTGGAAAAATTTCTGTCTTTATTACATCTAATACAGTATTTTGAAGAAATCAGTCCCCGCTGTACTTGGCTATAGATTGGTTTGGTTAAGCTTTTGTTTAAATAATATTCCAGCTCTTTCATCAGGGTTTTGTTTATGCCCCCCAATTCCCTAATCGCTTAATTATTTAACTACTTCTTAAGTAGAAATACAGTCGACCCCCTATAACACTGTTGATTTTTCCGTTTTATATGAATTCCGTGTTGTACGAGTAACTTAGATTTTACAAATACATGTGCCAGGCTGTGAACAGCTCACGTATTTGTAAAATCTAAGTGACTCGTACAACATGGAATTCATATAAAATGGAAAAATCAACAGTATTATAGGGGGGTCGACTGTAGTGTAA